CAGCAAGTTTACTATGCCCAAGTCAAAAACCGAATGCAGAAACCTGGAGAAAGTTTGCAGGAACTTGAAGCGGACATCGCTAGACTGATTCGATTGGCATACCCTACGGCACCGGAGAGCTTTCTTGATCAACTGGCTGTACAAACATTTATCGATGCCGTTCGTGATGGAGATGTCCAGCAGGCTTTGAGACTGGCTAGGCACGACAAAATTGAGAAAGCTTTGGCCCATGCGTTAGAATTCGAAGCCGCCAAGAAAGCTAGTCATGGAAGTGCGCGAGTACGTATGGTGGAACCTCGCAGTGAGAGCCGGGTAAGAACCATCTAAGAGGAAGGTGGCTCTGAAAGTTTTGAAGAAAAGCTCAGTAAAGAAGTGGAAGAAAAGGTCAGTAAAGTAATGGAAGAAAAGATCAATAAAGCAATACAGGCACTGGCAAAGAAAAGTGAACCACGGCTAGATTGGACACGTTCGCCGCAACTGCCAAAAACCATTGCAGCAGTCGGAAAACTAAGAAAGGTCGACAGGAAGGGGCTATCGTCGACCTGCAGAAACAAAGCCCCGATCTTCACTGTAAACATTTCGTCGTCTGGAAAAGTTCACAAAAATGCAGACGCTTTGTCAAGAAGACCGTGCAAGGACAACTGCACACATTGTTCTAAAATAGAAGACAAGATTGGCCATCTGCGACGAACAACTGTAGAGAGTGAGGAATGGAAGCCAAGCGAAATCAAAACGGCCCAAGAAAACGACCCAAGTATAAAAACTGTTCTGAATTGGATGCGCCACGGACAAAGACCAGGCTGGCAGGACATTAGTGCCACAAGTCCTGAAGTAAAAAGTTATTGGGGCCAATGGAATAGCCTGACTCTGAAAGACAACCTGTTGTATAGGACCCTTGAAAGTGAAGATGGCACCGAATCGACGCTGCAATTAGTAGTACCCAAAGTGTCGGAAATATTGCGAAAATTGCATGACGGCGCTTCCGGAGGACACTTTGGTATTACGAAAACGTTGCAAAGGGTACGTGAGCGATTCTATTGGGTCAACCGTAAAGAAGATGTCCGGCGATGGTGTCAAAAATGTGAGTTATGTGCTACTGGAAACGGACCAGTTTCCAAGAAGAGGGCACCCATGAGGCAGTATAACGTTGGTAGTCCGATGGAACGAGTTGCTATCGATATCGCAGGACCGTTTCCCGAGACAGATGGCGGAAATAAATATATCCTAGTCGCTATGGATTATTTCACAAAGTGGACTGAAGCTTACGCCATTCCAAACCAAGAGGCAGCAACAGTTGCAGAAGTGTTGGTAAAGGAGTTCTTTACACGTTTTGGTGTTCCTATAGAAATCCATTCAGATCAAGTAAGGAACTTTGAATCGGTTTTGTTCCAAGATGTTTGTCGATTGGTAGGAGCCAATAAAACCAGAACAACACCTTTGCATCCTCAGTCAGATGGAATGGTTGAGAGAATGAATCGAACGATGGGTAAATATCTTTCAAAAGTTGTGGCAGAACATCAGAAAAATTGGGACCAGTACCTCCACCTGTTCCTTATGGCATATCGATCAGCCGTCAACGAGACCACGGGTCAGACTCCTGCCTGCCTTATGTTGGGTCGTGAACTACCCCTTCCATGTGACCTCGAGTTTGGGCGTAAACCCCATGAAGAATATGTCGCAGGTGAAAATTATGTTGACCAACTAAAGGCGAAGATGAACGATATTCACGACTTGGCTAGAAGTCACATTCAGATTGCCAGCGATCGCATGAAAAATCAATACAACCTCCGCTCGGCCAATGAAACTTTTGAAGCTGGAGATCTGGTATGGCTGCACAATCCACAGAGACGAAGGGGTCTTTCTCCCAAGCTACAAAGACAATGGGAAGGTCCGTATGAGGTGATCAAGAAATAAATGACGTGATATATCGTATCAGAATGAACCACCGAAAACCGAAAGTTGTCCACATTAATCGACTCGCACGATATGCCGGATCCAACAACAACGAAGAAGTTAGAGGTATTCGAGAAGAGGAACGCAGCTTTGGGATCGAGCCAAACTTTAACGATTTTATGTCAAATTACGCCCAGCGGAAGAAAGCTCGATTTGGCGTTACTCAGGAAATTTGTCAAAATATTTTTGAGCTTCCGGTTAACGTTTCCATCGCCCATTGTGTCGCCGAAGACCTTCGCATGGGTAGAGGTATAGCTTCCGTATTCCGGAAAAGATTTGGAAGAATCGACGAGTTGTTAAAGCAAAGACCACGAGTGGGTAAAGTACTGCGCTTGGAAGATAGTCAACGCTCTTTGTTCTACTTGGTTTCAAAGAAAACGTCAGAAGGCAAACCCACCTATGAAAACCTCTGGTCTGCTTTAAAAAGCTTAAGGAAACTCATGGCATACTATGACATAAATAGCTTGGCGATCCCGAAGATTGGATGTGGTTTAGATGGGTTGGACTGGAAAATAGTGCGAACCATGATCGAAGTGATTTTTAGAAACACTAGCGTTCGAATTACAGTATGCTGCTTCAACCCACAGGGGACGACCCTCCGCAAAACTGTGGACTGTTACTTTTTCAAGAAAGGTGTTTGTCGAGCAGGCTCTGACTGCAGATTCCGACACGAGGCATTAAAAAGTAATACTAACGCAGTTTCTGAACGAGACGTCCAGAATTAAGAAGGGGGCAGTGTAACGGAAATGCTCCAGACATGACGTCGCCTTTGGCGCTCTGGAATTTTCTACGCGCGCGATTATTCGAGAATGTACTGGACTTACATTGCTTGCGTGTATAAATGGTTGCGGACCGAACATCGCGGCAGTCTACTACCGAACGAGTACGTAAACATCGAGCGCGAAAATCTGATATAAATTGCGAAGTGTGAGTGATATAAATAATCGATATAAATTGTACGGATTTTATAGTGTTTTAGTTCTGTTTAATAAATATTGATATAAATCGAACCCGAAATTTATAAAACACGTTACAATAAAAATCTAAAAATCGGCAAACCTGTGGGTAGAAGTAGTAATTTACTTAGTTTAGCGCCATTCATCCATTTCACACCACAGGTGTTGACTACAACTGTGGTCCTTCTCTTTTGAAAAGTGGGGTAGGTCGTGGTATACAACATGTCAAGGCTTATGTACGTTTATTTATTTGTTTTTCTACTAAGGCTTTACATATAGAGCTAGTTGCAAATTTAACTACAGATGGATTTTTGCTTGCTTGGAAAATATTTATTGCTAGGCGCGGTAAGCCACTTAATATTTATAGTGACAACGGCACCAATTTTGTGGGTGCAAAAAATGAACTTTCAAACTTGGGCGAATTTCTAATTAATAATGCTAATGATGTAACAATTTTTAACACAAACCTTGGCATCAATTGGAATTTCATCCCTCCGCGTTCACCTACTTTCGAAGGTCTCTGGGAAGCGGGCGTAAAAAACCTGAAATATCACATGAAAATAATATTATCAAATGTAGCACTTATCTTCGAAGAATTGTATACTCTCATAACACAGATCGAATCAATTATTAATTCTAGGCCTTAAACTTCATTAACAAATGATCCTCATGATACCGAGCCTCTTACTCCGGCACATTTTTTAATTGGTCACTTATTCACAACCTTACCTGATCCTGATGTTAGAGATGTTGCTCAGAATAGATTGAACAGATACCAAGTTGGTACAAAGGCTCAACAATCAGTTTTGGGACAAATGGTCAAGGGAATACGTGAACAGCTTACAGCAAAGGCAGAAATGGAAGGAATCGATTGTTTCAGTGAAGATTGGATCCTTGGTGATACTTAAAAATGAACACTCACTTCCGTGCCATTGGAAATTGGGAAGGATAATACAGGCTACATCCAGGTTCCGATGGAATTACTCGTCTGGTTACGGTGAAATGTGGTAATAGCGTAATAAATCGTGGAGTGAATCAAATTTGTATATTGCCGATTGACAATTAATTGAAGACTACAACCCTATTTTTAATGTAATGTTTTACAACGTTTTTTCAAGAATTTACTTCGTTTGATTGCTAAATCTTATTGTATTTTCTCATTTGGCTGTGGCAGCTATTCTGTTAACTTTTCTACAATGTTTTAATTTATTAATTTAATTTCATTTTGGAGATGCGCAATGCACTTCGTGAGCTTTATGTGTAACCAGTTGTCGGTTAGGTTTCAATGCAAGCGTATGCAAAAATAAAGTTCTAATTTCGTCAGTTTACCTATAACCTTTTCCTACCGGCAGCAGAACAAGTACATCATATCATTCTCAACATAGAGATTAATCAATTTCCATGTGATTGCGTTGAAAGGAATTACCACAGGTTAAATATTTATACTACAATTGTACAAATAATACGTATTTCATTATAACAAATTAGTGTGGCACTCTTTATTTGGTGGTGCGTAAGTACCTAAAAATTCTACAATAAATAACGAATATCAACAAGGAATAAATGGAAAAAATTGATTTACGTTGCTTTAGCTTCGATGATGTCCATTTTCCTGAGAACGATGTGTTATTGGAAGTGTTACGACGATGTTGGCCATTTCTTGCGGTAGCGCTCCGAACAAAGATTGCTAGCAGATAGCGACGATAACCGGACTTCCGACAAAGGGGATGATTTTCGTTACTTGCACGATGCAGACGATGGGGACGATGACGAGAGCTTTCACGGTGATGGATAAATTAATTTCGAAGAGATTAACATCCATGTCACCAAAACGGTTAAAGATGGCCGTACATATTATCTAACAAACTGACTTTAATTTTTAAAAAGGAATCGAATAAAAATGGGGACCATGATCGAGAATCTTGGTGTGTTTTGAAAATCCCACTTACTTACGTTGGACCCAAGTGACACGGGATAAAGAAGGGAAGCTGTTGTCGCTTTGTCCGCACGCGCGTTTCTCTGTTCATTGTCCAACTCTAGAGCGAAGGGCTAATTACCCAAATGCTTCACCAGTCGATTTCTACATGTCCATTCAGATAAAACCGTTACTGTTTATTAATCTAAGATATTTATATTATATGTGCACATTATTTTCGATATAGGTACTACACCAACACGCCATCTGTTTTTCCATCTAAAGTGTAAGTTGGACTTTTAGTCGAGTACAAAGTACCGTTTGCAAATCATCTACAATTGATACTTGCACAGTATAAGTTCCCTAGAAAAGCAAACTAACGTCTGAGCAGTAATAGAAGTGATACCAACCGGTGTATTGATTCCTAGCGTAGTTCCCCAAGTAAGGCCAACTCCAATGGTGCCTTTATATATGGGACAGTTTATCATACTGCACAGACTGTTTTGATATACGAGGGCAGATATGTCCAACAAAATAAGTCTATATACTGATATTACTGGTTGCGTTAAAGCATTTCCAATATCGATAACTGCAATAAAATAGACATCACTGTAAAAGTAGGTAGGTATGGTAAAATTTTGCGATTCCACTCACTAGCGCTAAAATTTAAGGCAAAATTAATCGGGGAAGAAATCTTGAATTGACATGGGGTTATCGTGCAGTTATTCACATTGAATTGGTCTATCCTAACACCGTTAATGTTAGTTGCACCTAGAAGAAAACGAAACTATTATAAAATAGGGATTTTGTACGATGTAAAAAATACACATTGAGTAAGGCGTCTCGGCGAAGACACCAAAAACCAAAGTGGCAAAAATGATGAAAGATTGAAGAGACATTGTGGACGACTAAATGGCATCATGCTGTACGAGTTAATTTATATCAAAAACGATTTAAACAAAATATTATTTTTTGAGGATATTTATTTTAGCATACCTATCTGTTTCTAACCAAGAAAAAATATTTAAACATATGATTTATATAGCTTTACGCTGTATTTAAGCACAAATAACAGCGAACTTTTAATTAAAAAAACATCAAAATCAGCCGTGACGTCGTTATATAAGCATAAAAAATAACGGCGCAGACCTTTCTTAGAAAAAAATAAAAATACCTATAAAATCTTACTTACATAGGCATGATTTATTATAAGGTAACGTTCCTACATTTATAATCTGTTTGGCTTAGAGTCTAAATGTTTAAAAATGGAACAGTTTTGCTGTTTTTGACATGTTCAACTGAAGTTTTTCTCATCAACCCCCCAAATATGATCTTCCGTCATACTTCCAGGTTACTGGCCTTGGTAACGTGGCTAAATTCCATTATGTCTTGATGAAAGGGTTGTCCTTGTTATTCCGAATAAGGTCCCATATTATCCTTAAATTAATCTAAATGAGAATCTAACCTGTGCATCTTTAGAGACATTTTATACTCGAGGATGCAAAACCAAAACCCGTCAGCTCGTCATAATTTTTAGCTCTATGGTTTCCCAGGAAACACTGAACGGGAAACCATGGACTATTGCCTTAAAACTGTTCCAGGATTTTTTTCCTCTTTGCTAAGTAACCGCGGGAAGATATCACCCTCCATTTTTCTTTTTATTTGAGGGAAAACAAAGATTCCAGCTTTAATTTTCGCCCCTGAAAGCTTTCAATCAAATTGCTATAACTTTTGTAAAAGCAAATATTTTCCATGTCTAATTGCACTTTTTATTTATTTTTGCTTATTATAGTCAGAATATATTATGTAAATCTTATGGGCAAAAAAAAATTATTTTTTTGTTGACCTGTGAATCTACCTATATACCACCTATACAGAGTGTTACCTATTCTTACACTATGATGTTACATAGAAGTATGGGAAAAAAATTGGGTGGTAGGGGGATCAAAACATGCATTTTTCCAAATAAACTGAGGGTCCAACGTGTTTCGTTTGGAAGACACCCCCACAAAAGTGGTGACATTTGCATTTCTTCTTTAATTTTTTTCTCAGCAACCACATGAGTTAGACAGACTGGTGGCACGTCTAAAATAGGTTTTCGGATATGCCCTTGCCTTCAAGTACATCTTGATGACCAAAAGATCGGTCTTGTGATAACTCCAGTTACAGCACATGAAACGACAATTACAAATTCATGGGGTTAGCAAGTTGGCAATTAAAAATGTATTGGAGAAGGTTTGACACCGCTATTATTTTCGTGCTCGAGTTAGACGAGAAACAGGCAGACAGACGGACACACAAAACCATCACATAAGGAGAACTTCTTTCAAAAAATCCCCTAAAAACTTAAAAACTCAAACCCTCTATTTTCCTGTAATCGCCGTGGGCATGCAATACTCTACGCTACTTACCCCAAGCCAGCGGGTGACATATGTTGAAAGTCAATGGCTTTATGGTTCAGTGGTGTAGAGCATTGGACTATAAATCCGGAGGTCGGGTGTTCGAACCTGAGTTGAGGTGAATTTTTCATCTGTGGCAGAGATGGAAATTACCTTAGACCAGTTTCGAGCATTCTGCCGACTACTTCGAATTAGGTTTTCCTGCAGTTTTCCTAATTCGTAAGGAGTAGTATAGATAGAACAACTTAAGACCTTCTCCAGAGGCACCACTATAAAGCTTTATGCGGGTCACTCTGTAATTGGGCGCAATAAGCCTGTTGAGGGAGGGCCCATAACAAGAGAGGGATAATAAAAAAATAAATAAATTACATGTAATCGTACCAATATCTTCTATGGTTTCTGAGATCCCCATGATAGACATCCTTATCTTTGGCACAGTGAATATTTTTATTTATTGTATTTTCAGGAAAATTGTTTTTGACCTCTTACAGAATTTATTCAATGGAATTTGGATGTCTTAGACAATATTGATTACGTCAATTTTTTATTGGTAGGTACATAATTGAAAATTGATTTGCTTTTGATTCCTGCTTTTATTTTGTGCATCTTTTTCTTTTCCTCGAGCATTCAAAAATTTAAACGATCCTTTCAAACGGCGCCCAAACCTAAACCCCTTAAATTCATTACGTGTTTGCGTCCTTTTGGACTTGGGTGTGGCGGTGTGCTCTTTTTTTAAGAAAAGATTCTGCAATTGTTTCCCATACTTAGAACACTGCATTTCTCGACAATGGTCACACAACGTTGAAAAGACCGGTTCTCTTCCGAGCTAAGAGCAGAATTTCTAACTTTGACAAACGACGCTGACAACAAATTGCGTTGCACGTCAATACCATATTGAAACATTTTGCGAATCAATTGTTTGTGGTCAACAGTATCAAACGCACTCGAAATCAACAGCAACCTCACTTAAAAGATGCTTATCAATCGCAGAAAATGCCTCGACAATATAATGACATAAACCTTATCAGTAACAACATTTTCAATGTCACCCGAAATCTGAAAAAAATTAAACATTAAGTAAACTATTCTATAAAATATGATTATTAAATACGGTTATCATGTATGGTAGGTATTTACGCACAAAGCGGCCCATAAAAATGCTGGCAATAATTTAATTTTTGGAGTTTGGATAAGAAAAACTAGTTGTCGGGTAAAATCCTGACTTGACTTTCCGACTGCTTTTAATACAGTCATGGGAATTTTCTTTGGTTAGATGGTCACAGTATAGCATTTAGAAAATGCCCTATGGCGCCTTTATTTCGAGTTCAAAAATTATAGATCTCATTAAGACACATCTTTTTTGTAATTAACATTTTTCACTCCAATGCTTACTTTTCGAGAGAAATGCAAAATTAAAAAAATAATTTAACTTTTCAATTTAAAAAGTTCTCAAAAACAAGAAACTCACAAAAAAACTGTAATGACCTTTTAATTCTGTATGTGAAAAAATGAAAAAAAATGTTCAAGCCGTCATGGCTCTCTTAAACTTTTGATACCCTCAACAACCGTGGAGATTGGTTACGGATCAAAACCAAAATAGGACGTTTCAGATTCCACATAGCAGCCTATATGTAACCAAATTTCGTCCAAATTGGTTCAAGGGTTATACACACCCGCACCCACACACACAGACAATTTTAGGGCCTGTGCCCTGTGGGCTTTAAAACGTCCAGAAAACGCAATGTTGGCATATCGAAAATTTATCACGATTCAATACTTTCCTTTATACAGGTATGTATGTAGTCGGAAAGTAAAAAAAAACTTGCAACACGGACATTTTTATTTTTAATGTTACAATTTAGAGTATGAAAATATTACCCCTCTCTGAATTATAAGCACCCCCTCGAAATTTTTAAATACGTCGTGTAGCACCTTAAGGTATTTTAATTCTCCGTTCAGCATTATTTGCTTATTATTTGTATTAAATTTAGTTAATTTATTTCCAAATTAAATTAATAATAAATTTCTTCATTCTATACGTAGGGTTTTGTTATAGATATATAACTCTCGCCAGGAAAGATTGCCGGTCACAGCACACCTTGTGTCGATCTGCAATCTATGTTTTTCTTAAGATGCGAGCGACTTCCAGAATAGGATCGTGCCAATGTTGAACGAAAGCCTTTTTGTTCAACATTGACACGATACTATCCCGGAAGTCGCCCACATCTTTAGAAAAACATAAATTGTACACCGGGATCAAGTGTTCTGTGACCGGCAATCTTTCCTGGCGAGAGGTTTAGGTACCATATCAAAATTGTACACATTTAAAATTAATTTTCTCAGTTATGAATGCACCAAATTACAAACACTGTATACAGGCTGTTTCGCGCAAACCGTTGCCTAAAAGTATTGACTTCGTATAAATCTGAAAATTTGCATACCCACAGTTTTTCATGATCTGTCGAAAGAAAATATTATCATGATCGTTTCACTTCCGGTTTTACCGGATGTGGATAGCAAGTTTCCCCTATATTTTATTGCATTTTCGAATTATTGATTGTGGAAGTCTTTTTGAATTTCAAGTCAACGGGGCTATATAGGTACAGAGCGCTAAAGAAAACAACAATTTTAAAAAATCTTGAATAACTTGAAAACCTTTGATGCTGGGTATAGGGAAATGTGCTATCAAACGACGTAGATTTTCATGTAGATTTCGAAAACGAAATAAATGATAGGGGAAAGTTGCTATCCACATAAGACACATAAAAGTCTAGTCCTTTTTTTGTTTCAAAAATCAAGATTTTTAATGAATTTTTACGGAACAATCCGTTTATTGTAAGGGCTATTTTTATTGTAGGAATCTCAAAAGTGTTTTTTATTTGGTTTTCTCTGCAGTCCCCACAAACCATCCTTGAAATGAACATAAAAGTATTGTCCTTTCTCATTTGAGAGAATATAAGCTTTTAAGGAAACTGACTTTTCTATATAACAATTCGTTCATTGTGAGGGCTGCAATATCTTTGTGATACCTAGTTACCTACTGCAAACATTTTCGTTTCGTTTTTATTGTTCACTCAAACCTACCGCATTACACAGCTGTAAGATAGGCACATTACATAAACTGCTACAGGAGAAAATCCTAAGGTAGGAGAGTAAGATAGGTCATAGTGTAAAGGTATACTGAATATGGAGATAAGAGGGTATAGATGGCAGCGATTACTAAAAAAGTGAACAAAGAACATTATACCAGACCCAGGTATCAAAAAATATTAGCATAGTGTAAGAATTACACTATGATATTAGGTACCCAGGAAAATATAAAAAAGAGAAGACTGCATGGTTAGGTCACTTTTAGAGAGAATGCTGGAGAGTGACTTATTGCGCAGCAAAAAAACCCATCCAAAAAAAGAAGCTGGGTAAACAAGGAATCCGAAGGACACAGTGTTAAAAAATATACAAAGCAAAAGGACAAGAAGATGTGGAAGGCTGTGATGGTCTGTAAAAAATATCCTTTTGTTCTCATTCTATACACCTTCAGATAAACCTGGAAAAGAACAGGAAGGGAGCAACCTAGGAAGCAACAATCAATATTCTTTCAGGCAGTCAGGCTGCAATGAAGGTTTTGAAAACCCACACTTGCAAATTCAAACTTTAGTCTAAGATTGCATTTGCAACATAACGCAGCTGGCAAAGGAAAAGCATGGATACAAGAGCACTCATCAGTGTCCAGGCAACATCAAAAGTGAGAAAGAGTCTATGAGAGCACTCAAAATGTGCTCAATGCTGATGTGCTTACTACACCTTGAGTCTTTAAATGTGCCCGCAGACTTAATAAACTCTAACATTTTTTATGAAACTTTATTAACATTGATGATAAATTTACAAAGATACTTAATATCATACCTACACTTATTAAAAACATACGACTAGAATTGCGGCTCAAATCTTTCATCACAACATAAGAAGAGTTACCTATTTCATATCATTTTCACTGCTAGTAAATACCAGGTAGACACCTCTTACAGTACCTACCCGAACAAAACTCAATTGATATTCAATGCAGTTACATTAGAAGAAACATTAAAGTATACATCTGTATTTTAAATCTCGCTGAACTACAATGTGTTTAATCTTCCTTTTTGCAAAATACTGTAAAAATATCGAATATTTGACGGTTACGAATAATATTCAGCCTTACATGGATTACTTTTAATTTGATAATCTTTCGCTTCATAATGTAACGGTGTTTGCGATTCTTTAGGTGCAATGGGGAAACAACACCACAAAATAAACGCTACAAATGCAACAATTGTTCCTATTAGGAGTATGAAGTCTTCAATGGACTAAAATGTAAACAAGTTAGAAATCTTAATGTACCGAAGTGAACCTACAGGTTCATCCCCCAATATAACGTTGTTGAGTAGATACACAAAATCATCGAATGGTGTAATCATATTTTTGGTTAGTTCACATTTTCTCTGGCTATTGACTGGAATAAATTGATGTTAATATTCTTCCTAAAGCGATTCTCTGATAAACAAATACCAACGGTTTAATTTAAATTGTTATTAATAAATTTATGAATCATATTTCACGTTTATCCCATAATTTTCTTTTAAAAAAGTAAATTAACCTTGATGTCCTTGAGGCTCAGGGACAACCATATACAGTACAGCGTTGCCATCGACATTTATCCCTAGAAACGGTTTTGTTTTCATTTAATAACAAACAAACGTTGGAATTGGATCTAGACCGGGCAATCACGAGTCGGAACCGGAACCGAAAAGAACCGGTACCGGAACCGCAACCAATTGCATTTTTATACGCGCCTAACTTGGAAGCGGAACCGTTATTTAAACAGTTATGATAACCGATACCGATACCGGTAAGCTCGCAATATTTTCCGTGCTGTAAAGTAAAACGTAAAAGTTCAAAAGTGAGATTTTTCGAAGCAAAAGTTGAAGCGACTTTTTACAAGTTTGTAGCAGAAAATGTAATACTTGGCAACAATGCATGCGCTTCCATTTTTTTTGTTGTGACCTAATTCTAACCTTAAAATCTTAAACTTTAAGAATGTTTTTAAATAGTATTTGCAATCATTTTCGTACTTCGCACAGATACGTAAACGGTACACTGAAAGAGAGGCAAGTATGCAATGTTTGAAAAGGTTCACTTTTAGTAGGTAATTAATGTAGGATCCGACATGTTTCAACATCTCCGGTAATGAGCGGTTTGATGGAATTCTTCGACGATGAAAAGAATTGGGGTAGTTCTGAGGTGAAAACTGGCCGTTCCTGGACCAAGGACGATTTACGGATTAAATCAAACACAGATTTGCACAAATTATGGTAACTTATACGTTTCGAATAGGGCTTTGCAGCATGTGTCTTTAAAGGTATGTGCTGGTGAAGGAGAAGAACATGCTTCTCTCAATGGAACACGAGCATAATGAACAAGTAAGACTCTTTCCCAGTCCCGAACGGTTAGACAAAGTGTTAGACTCCATGGAGAATCTAGAGGAAGTTGTTCGTGAAAGAAATCGTGCATATTACGAACTGGAAACCACCGAGCTCGGGGAACAACCCCATAAAACGGTTACAGGCCCCTTTGGACTTCCAGTTGATTATCAGTACGTATTTCTTGTTCATATTGGTAATATAGGTATACTTTGTTTCAAGGGTGCTGAACCTTTCGTCACACTATCTGACGTCATAGCAAAATTAAGGCAGGTCGTAAATTAGTAGTTGGTTTACATATTGTCACATTAACGTTTCAACTTATTTATTAAGGTGTCACTATCGTTCATCATTATTAGACCGCCCAAGTTGACAATCACTTGTAAGGCATCTGGTTCTGATAGGTTTTTTCCTGTTCTTAGGTTTTATAATGGCTAAATGGTCATGTATTTTATGTAGAGGAAGTCCGTTGGTATGAATTAAACCTTTTCAACCGTTTGTAATCACCTCATGTAACCGATTCTTTGCACATCCAAATGGATACTGCCAGAGCATCCGAAACTCTTTGAGATGAAGTGTATGATGGTTACAGAAAACGCATAGGAACATTTGTAACTTAAAGTTTGTTTAGGCAGTTCGTAAATTAATATTTTGTTTACATAATGTTGATGTGAAATTAAGTATGCTACCAATGTGAAGAATACGCGTTAAGTTGCGCGAATTTTAATGACCCTTAACTAGCCATTGCAGCATTTGCAGAAGTAGAATAGGCCATGGTAAGCCCTTCGCATTTATACATCTTACAAATTTGAGATAAAGCGTAGTCATTATACCACTGGCTCATTGAAATAACAACGCATACATACAGTTTCTGTTCTTTTGCCACACAGTTGAGATATTCGCATAAGGATCTTGAATATCTTCTGATCCGATTTATTTAAAAAAAACGCAATTGTGAGAGAAAACAGGTAGTGAAGAAAAAACTCTCAAATGTTCATATTCAAATTGTATGTACAAAAGAAAAAACGACACTACACCACTAATCCATCTTCTGATCCTGCATGGAGTATTAGGTATATACCGGACCCCTTCACCACTTCTTTTTCTAACTGTTTTGAGAGTACCATCTTGCCAGCTTCTTCTAAAAGACCCTTTACTGTATATCCAGGTTTCGTCTAAAACCACAGGTCGTAATGGAAAGAGTGAAGTTTCGTTGTGTTTAAAGTCTCTCAAAAATTGTAGTCTTCTTTGAACTGCATAGGGCTGTTCCATTAAAAATAATCTATTGGAAACGGTGCATCTCCGCCACGTGAATTTCAGTTTCTTCAAACTGCGGGACAAAGAGGTAGCAGATATTTCTACGCCATCAAGTCGTTGAAGATTACTGTGTAAGGAACGGAGTGTAACATTCTCACCTATAAAATCAATTCAATACCTAAGTGTTCTAGCGAACCTCTTCATTCTGTGTATCGGTTCGTCATATTTACCTAATGGTAACGGGAATGACCTAAATTCATGATATGAGCGAATCGAACCATTATGCGGTAAAATTTTTAAAATACTTGTCTATTAACGGCGTTGCTGCACTGTCGACTTGCCTAAGCGTTTTTAACTTTGATGATATTTACTTCACTTTTAACACAAACTACCTAATCAACACTGGAAATCTGTCTATAACGAAAATCGTTTGACGGATTGATATTATGACAGATCAATTGGTTTATTTGTCACGACTTACGTTAATGACGTAATTTTTTTGTCTCAATCGATTTAAATGTAATGAAGAGAGAATCACATTTATGACGTCAGGTTCAGCACCAGTGAAACAAAGTATATGAACTTACAGCGAAACTGAGCATTCCATTCCAAAGGAGGTAAATGCACAATGGCAGAAAGAACAGAACGTCAAATGTAGGCCTGAAGATGTTAAAGCGTTCCTACTGAAATATAAGGAAAGAGAATATCTAGAAAATAGGAGACGCCAAAGGTAAATTACGCAATTTTAATAAATTGGAAACATTTGGAAATTGATTACAGACGAGACTTTAATCACGTGATCGGTCTATTGAATAGATTCCCAAAAATGGATATGGAAGCGCTTAAAGAACAATATCCGGATGTAGATATCGAGAAGGCGAAAGCAAGTAGAAAATATAAGCCACCAGTTGTCTTCGATTAATTTTATTATTTGTTACGTAATTTAAGTTCCTTAAATAAAGCGTGAAAGCAATGATTTGTTTTTTTAGTTATTTATACCGATTGTGCAGTTAAGCACAAAACCGAAGGAAAATTTTCCACTCTTTATAAAGGACATATATACATTTTGGTAGAAGTGGTGCATCCTTTAAATACAGGAAACAACGTTTAAAAGGTTTTTTTTATTTGGTTACAGTTGGAGTGTGTAATTCTTATTACCCAGTTGTTTTTGGGCAGTCCGCCCTATTTTTTTAGATGGAGACGTAATTAATTAATATCGCGTATTAAGAGACTTGGGTTATTTAATGTCGTAAAGTGTGAAAGGTTCCACCCTGTATATACAGCTTACGACGATACATACATTTTTGAGAGTTGGCAACCATGCAATTTCTAGGTGGGAAAAAAAGTTGCCTGCGCCACCTAGAAAGCACGAACAGGAGTTACGTTTGGCATCTGGCATTGAATTTATAAGTTATAAATTCAATGCATCTGGTCTTGAATGGAGGTAGTGAACGTTTCGCTCCATAAATGTTTGTTGTTATTTTGTGTTATTTAATGCAGGTAGTAATTTTTGCATTTCTTTATATCGTATTTGTGTTTTGTATGCCGCATTTTATATTTGTTGTGTGTTTGAATCTCTGTTTTTGAAATTTACTTTGTTTAACCGCAATGCAATCATATGTGTGATACCGTTATGCTATTGTTTTTAATTGTTTACATTTTTGGTGTAATGTTTGCTTAATTTATGTTTATTGATGTTGATTACTTGGTCTTGTCCTTGAAGTTACATTCATGTAAGTTTTCATTTTATTTTAATATGTGGAAATTACCGATTCGTTTAATGTATGTACCGACTTGTTGTATGTTACTAACAATTTTCTCCGTGAATGAAGCAGTCTCGGGAAGGTGGAAAAAGAAACTGTAGTCTATATTTATGTGTTAGGGCACCTAATTCCGTGCACTGTCTTCGACATCCAACTGTAGGTTAAAAAACCCCGAAACCAGGGGCGGACTACCCATCTTGCAGGAGTGAGATTACGCTAATCAAAGCTCTTCAGTTTAGAATCTATGTGTGATAAATGAGTGGCGATTCAATAATTTCCACATATTTTGTTTTTAGTCAAATTTGCCTACAAGGCCATGTAGTTTTCCATCTTGCTTTCAACAAAAGGACTTGATTGCACCAAAGATGAGTCACATCCTGTACTTTTAACCCTTTCTCAGAATCTTGGTACCTGCTTCTACCTGACCCATTGTCCCCAAAAACTTGCTTTTAACCTTGAGTGTAACCATCCTTGTGTATATGCATTTACTATCTTTGATAACTACTGCTTAAACTTTTACAAAATATTTTGTTAATTAACTTTTGGACTGTTTTAATCAAACTGCAAGGTTTTTCTTACGTCGTACTCTTTTTATCCTTGGCAGTGACTTTTGCGAGAGTACGACACCTTTTGGCTTTGTTTGTTTTGTTTATATTAATGTACATCAACTAAATTTCCGGGTTTTCACAATCATAATAATTACGATCATTATTAAACAAACTTCTCACAATTTCAGTGTTTTATTTAAAATTCCTTCCCTACTGTGCTTCAGGTCAAAGCGTTGTCTACAACTAATGTAAGGAAGCCCTGCCTTAGATGTTTTATCACATGCCACTTTTCAAATTTAAGCGGGTACTTGTTTAGTTTTAGAGGGAATAGTCATTCGGGTGGCCATTTTTTAAAACGATGCCGGGTTTATTTTATTTCCGTGTTCTTGTAGTGTGAAGTTAGCGTAGAACCTGGGGGTTAAGTACACTACAAGTGAGTTAGTAAAGGTTGTTGAGTTAACGGAAAAAGTAATACCAAAGACTATATAGTCTTTGGTAATACCATTGTATATACAATGGTAATACTTAGTTCGATTTTGAGTAAACCAAGCAGTTGTTGCACAGTGAATCCTTTCACTGTTTGTCATTAATCAAAACTAAGAGTGTTCTACCGTCCAAAAAGCTACCAATTTTGTCATCTAATTAAACAAACCAGTTTTTTGTCATAATAAAAGATCCCAACTTCAATAAACCACTAATTACTGAAGCTCTCGGCATGTGTTTGTGGCATGTCTATATAAATGCGCCTGAATATCGCAACATTGTTATGACCAGATTTATTGGATTATTGAAAAACTGTACCCAAGTAATTAATATTTCTTTATTTAATTGTCTGTCGTCGCCTGCATTTTATAATAAATTTGTGCAGAAGCAAGTTAACTAAAGTTGTGGAAGAAGTTTAAAGCGTGTAGTCCGATTACGAAAGTTTTGTCAAGTTGAAAAGGTAGTTGTAGTAAGAAGAGGCCTTTTGTTAAGGTTCTCTTCGTATTAAAAGTTTCTACCGTCCGAACAGCCACTGAAGTTTTGTTTGTCATCTAAGTCTGTTATAAAGCAAAGTTCAAAAGCCGTCAGCATGTGCGTGTAAGTAATTTAAGATTTCTGATTTTAATTGTCAGCCGCCTGCGTGCGGAGTAATATATCAAAATCAAAATAGGCTTTATCATTGTCAATCAATTAATTCTAAGTTTATTCGAATCCTTTGTGCAAGTTGTTCAAGGTCACAGACTCTATCAAATTGAGAAGTGTTAAGTACATATTACGATTTTTCTTTATAGTAGATATCGGATGTGTACCAAGAGAGATAATAAAGTTCTAAGTTTCAATTTTAATTTTATTTGAGCTGTACTCTCATTCCAGTCTAAACCGATTGCAACCATGGCACACATTTTCTTAGGTATAAAAGGAAGAGCTGAAAAGCTTTTGGGCAAGTGTCAAAGTAACAAAAAAACTGTCAATGTTGGGCCTAATATGCTAAATTTTTATGGTGCAAATGTACAAACATCATAACGATCCCAAATACAATTTTTATTCCAACCCAAAGTTAATATTAATAAAAGAATTAATATTGTACTGATTTATTAATCATCTCAAAACAAATGTATGATACATAAGCAAGGTTATACAAACTTAAGTCAACAAAATTTGAATTCATGTTACCCCTTTAATTATTTCACAGTGAAAATTGAAGCAGAAGTTTGGTAACAATGAATCACGAGTATACATGAATTCAAATTTTAACAGTAGAGATTGGAGGGTGGGTTATTAAATGTGCAAAAAGATGGCGCTATTATTATTTTTAAATGAATCTCTACTGCAAATGTTTGGAAAATGTCTAATACTCATCACCTTTTGAAGTATAGGTTATAGATATACTAATACTAGATAAAATGGCCAGCTTGAAATTAATATTATCCTGCATAGTGTTTAAGCTGCGTAACATACATCAGGTATATAATCGACATTTAAACATAAGACATAAATTTCAGTCGCATAAAAGCAATTTTAATTTATGTCCCATAAAAAGTAATACCCGTCCAAATGCAATAATACAATGTACACTTCATAGTATACTTGAACTTGAAAGAAAAATGGTAGGATCGCTTATAAAATTCTACAATATACGTCAGATCATGATGCATTTTTCTACAGATTTACGCATTTGCTAAATACAAACAACAATATTGCGATAAGCGATTATATCTTAACATTATTTATTTAGTAATACATAGGTACATAAACTACATTTTTTTTATTTCTATCACATTATTGAGTATTCAGTAATATGTAAATGACTAGTATTTTTTAAATTTATCACAAAATAATTTAAAGCTGAGTGTCACTTAGAATCATAGTTTTCTCACAATTGGCAAATTGCACATCATAAAACCTAAACGTAATCTGAAATGTGCTAAATTATTAAATTACTTACCTATTTCTTGATAAATGTGATTAAAAAATTAAAAGCCTTGTGACGTACATCACCCATCCAAAATAGGACGATGTTAATGAGCATGTTTTCTCTAATACTACAAGAAAAAATATTTCTTTGATTTTACACCAATCAACGAATGTAAACACTATTTAGAAAACTATGAGGCTACCAGACATCCACAACGAAAACTTAACAGATTCTGGACGTATCTTACTAAAAAAAAAACATTCCAGAAACATAACTTCATCTAAAACACCTTATATACAAATTATTAACGGCAATCAAAAAAATAAATAGGTAAAAAATTGCCCTACATTAAAATTAATGATTTTACACACGCGAGTTTCATTAATTTTAATTTATGGTGTAAAATATCACACTGAACAACTATACTTATTTAGAAAGGCAATGTAAAAAATCCAATTAAAAAAATATAAATTCACCTGCCGTTCGACAATATTGGAATTTTGTAATACTATTAAAGCCCGGTTTAATACTAATCTTCAAACGGTTGCAGATTTATTTGCAAAGACAGCCAAGTATTTTTGATCATGTTGTAGGTATCGACACATTTCCTGTTTATAGGATCCGTTTCGGGTATTGTACTTAATGGGAAACTCTCGCCCTGTAAGTAAACACATTTTTTTATATAATGGCATTGAAGCTAAGATCAGTATATCACTTCAGTTGAAATTATCTAAAGATAAATGCAGATGGTAGTGTTGTAATAATAATAATAATAGTAAAGTTTATTGTGTACCCAATGGACTTTACACTCGTCATACATAAAAGGTTCAGATTAGAAACAAGAACAGAAACATGGGACAAACGAATCTACATAAAAAATTCTTCTATGGAGTAATATGCCTTTTCAATTAATACATTTTTTATAATGATTTTGAACTGTTTCGGTGGCGTGTACGGTTGGCGTAGATTTAATTTTTGGTTATACCCTATACACTGATTATTATTATGACTCCGAGCTTGCGTGTGCATTGAATGCATTTCCGGTAAATGCAGGTCATTACGAAATCGAATGTAAAGTAAATGTACGTAAATCTGACAGTTTAAGAGAATCACATGCCATTAAGTAGCTGACAATCATAGGTTACTATTGTAAATCTGCTGGTTGGGAAAAACAGCTTACAGCTGGTCTCCGCCAGGATAATAAAGTATTATTATTATAAAGACTAAATAATAGTTGTTACAAAGAAAAGAGTCTTTGTTGACATACTTTTACAAGAAAAAGTGATTTATGTTTATCCATTTATAGAAAAACTAATTGTTCAGCCAATGACGGCCAATTTTTGTTTTGATCCCTAAATCAGACGGTGACGTAAACCTTAAATCGACAGTTCTCTAAATTCGACATGTCGAGGTACCTAAATCAGACAAAAGCGATTAGTTCAAATCTTTACTATAAATATGATTTAAAGCACATACAAACTAACAAAATGAAATATACAAAACCTTTTCCAAACTAATCATTTGTTATAAATTTATTCTAAGCATTTATTCATTTCTTCTACTTCAAAGCATCCTCTTCTATTTACTTTTTTAGGTTGGTTTCATTCAGGCCATACCAACTTTAGTCTTCCTGTGCTGGCCACTTCCCTTTGTTTAATCCACTTTTAGTCACTGCACTGTAACGTTTCGTTGAATGTACTCTTGATTTTGTGTAGCTGACTGAATGCGCTCTTAGTGCGTTACGAGTAGTTGGTACCATTGGAATAGAGATCAAATCACTTTTGCTTTTGTCATTGAAATGACAGGTCGATCTTTGCGAAAAATTGATTCGAATGGGAAAATTCCAGAGTCGTCACGCTAATATTAATTATCTAAGCGTCTTTACGCGAATGGGGTGTGGCTGTATCCTCTTTAGGCAAAGTTATTTTCAGAGAATTCCTCTTTGTTAACACGTTTCGTTTTAGGTTATGCCATATGTTTTAATTTAATTACCTGCATTTGATTTACCATTCATTAATGGGCTATGTAAGTTTGAATTAATTGGAATTGGGTCATTTTGACATTGTAGTTTTTGGATATATTTTGCTTTGTATTATGGACGCTTACCTTAGTTGGCTCTCTCATTTCACTTGTGTTAAACAAGTTTTCTATTTTAATTTTGGTCATCATTGCCCGAATTTAAGTTTGACCGAGTATTTTGCTATACTGATCAGAGCTGTAGTTTTGTACATTTGCCGTTGTTTGTGGGATTTTGTCACATTACGATTACCTGACTATGCACTACATTAGGGAGGACCCAATAATAACCGGAATTGACCTGTTGTGCGCGCACGCTTTGTAGTTACGAGTTGTGCTGTTAGATGGTGTTAGTATTAGATTGCTGTACTGTATGCTCTTCCTGAAAATCAAGGTCCAGAGCACTCTCCATGTAATTAAGATCTACCTAGTCATCATAAATCATTGTATTCAAAGTCTTGATTCAGCGTAAAATGTTAATGGTTTTAAAGAATTTAACCATTTGATTACTTTGTACATTAAATGTAACCTGTCTTATTAACCAACCTATTGAACTGGATATATATCACATTTTTGTGGCAGAGTTTAATTCAACATTTCAATAAATCTGCCAAATTCATAGGTCCATTAATTACCGATTTCAACTTATAAAATGTGAATAAAGAAAAAACCATTCGAAGAGAACTTAAAGCTAGAAAGACATCAAGTTCAAATTAATGAAATGTTTTCCAAAGAAAGTCAGGATAGTTTTGGAAGATACGAAATGCAAGCAGGGAGCCCTGAAGGAGGTAGACCTAGCCAACTTCAGGAGCAACCTCAAGCAGGCCCAGAAGAAATGAGCCTAGTTAGTGAAGATAAAATGCCAATACCACAAGCCAGCCGTACACAAGGGGAGATCCATAAATGAGCTGAAATGATGAAAACCCTTCAAAAAATGTAAGAATACATAACGTGCACCGTTTCAATTTTGAAAAATATGGTCACTGTCAGTTAAACCGCAAGCGCTGGGAGAATACTATTTAAGAGTATTCCATTTGTTGCGCACTGCATTTCTGTAATGCTATTATGTAAGAGTTACAGAAATTGGTAGCACCAAAGTGGTTATTATTAATATTCACTATTATACAACAAAAAAAACACACAAACATAAACATAATATGTATGGTGTTTTAATCCCGAGGGTGCAGTTTGTTGCCCAAAACTAAGTTGAGTCCATAAGTAAAATGGCGCTTCGGGTAATCTTCTTACAAATTACTATAACGTAAATTTAATTACCTAGATGATATATTTATTTACAATTAATTCACAATGTATTTAGCACAATCCTTAAAATAGATTCGATTTATAACAGATAATTATTATTTATCACTCATTTGTCTCAAATTTATAACGTAGATTTATCACACACGAGCACGAAATCACTACTCATCAATTTGGCGTCGATGTTGGAACTCCCATTAAACACATTTCATTTTGCTTATATAGAAAACGGAAAGTTTCTAGAAAAAATCACGGAACATTCTTAAAAAGTCTAGAAGGAAAGAATGCGACTTCGTGGCGTCTACTGTGGCGCCGTTGTCTACTCACTGTATTATGTAATTTGAGTACCTGTTCTATTCTAACCAATGAATTGGCTGGTTGTGGTTAGCTCAGATCAGAATTCGGGTACGTGATTTGATTAGAAACAGAGAATTGAAGGGAGTGAGAGGTACGCTTGGATGCCTTACTGAGTGTCTACAACACAAGGTAATCGGACGTTGATCAATGGAATACAGAGTAATTGTTTTGTGATTGTGCGACTTACCTTATCATTATGGTAAGCCCACAACATTTCTAAAGTGGAAATAAACTTTTCTAATTCCGTATTTGTTGTAAAATACAGAATCCAATCTCCACTACTTTCGTGCACCTCTCGACAGGAGAACTCCTGCAATCGAAAGAGCTAATTAGTACTCACTCATTTGCTTTCGCATACCAAAATACACCAGCTCTGCTCGGCGCACGGTAACCTGAACGCAGTAATATCGGCGATAGCAGCACAAGATAAAGCCTGCGCACCCTTAATTGGTATATGGGCATCACGTAAAGACAACGAAGAATTTAATGTACATGGAAAGGCCTCTCTTACTGATAAAATATGATCGCTCGTCATTAATAAGGAACATGATTGGGCTGGAAGCTTTTCTCGATGATTATATGTCTAAAATAAACTTACTGAATGAGCTTTAATAGAAAGACATCCCATTACTTTACTAGCTGCGTGGACTAAGGCTTGCAACCATTCGCTCGCGACATACTCATCGGGTGCTGCCAAATGTAAAGTTGTCAGTCCCACTTGCACTTGAAACGTGTGAGGTCTACTACAGTTGTAAATCCTCCAAGCACCTTGACAAGCTCCATTAATAAGCGGTAATACTCGCATTGGGAGTCTGTGTGACGGAGACGAAAGCATATACAATATACCCGCCCTGTAAAGTAGTACGTTTACCATCTATTGCACCATGCAGAAATTAGCATTACTTCAAGATGAAATAGGCGGTTTCCCATCTGGTGTCAGACTCCGCCATTTTAAACATTAGAGGACCTTCCTTAGTAGGTCCGAGAGGTGTTTCACAAATATCCACGTTGTAATCTTGGATATTGATAATGCTGTAATGAAAATATTCTTCCTCCTAACAAATATAATCTGATTAATTGAAACAGTTATTAAAAAAACAAACCTCCAACACGGTTGTTTGTCTACAAATTGATCGTCTAAGATTTACCATGTCTCTCATAGACAACTGCTTAACGGCCGGCAATCTTGGTTTATTAATATCTTTCCGCATGGCCATTTCTAACTGTCCAATAAGCTCATTGGTCAAAGTTTCGCTGCCTGTAGTTACAATACATTGCATGTCATTGTCGTAATTTGAAAGATGTATGGTTTGAGCATTCGGACCGATTAGTATTGTATTCAGTTCGGTATACGGTAATACAAAAAAGTTACAGTACGAATTATTGTGTTTAACACCCGTTATGTATAATGTTGTGCTGCTTAATATGGCTATTAAAGGCTTGTTTTCACCGCTGGTTGTGTATGCGCTGTACACTGGAAATACCTGTAATAGAACGAATACGACATCAATTTATTTATCATATACAAATTTGAGCACAACACAACACAACACAAATTCTATTAAAGACAGACATAAACTATTTAAGGGAAATCTATTGGTAAATTGATCAAAAGGGGGTTGATGTAATTATGTATTTGTGTTCAATTTATTCTGATTTCTGCACGTTCTAGTTCTGAAATTAAGATTTCTTTATTCAACTGTCTGTCGAACGCCTGCTTGCGTGGTATGTGTAAAAACATGCCTTTCTCTCTTCCAGCGTTGTTGTTTTAATTTCTTTTGTACTGAGGAGTAAATTTTTGTCCTTGTCAAGTAATTGTGTGTTTAATCGAACCCAAAGTGCGACCCAGAGAGAGTATTCAGGGTAGATTTTTCTATTCGTGCCCAAGAATTATGTCATGTGTTAATCAAAGTTTGTAATGGTCGGGAGTTGATTGAGGCCACTATATCTTTCAAATCACTAATATTTAAAGTCAACATTAGGATTATACTTTATAGTGACGTGCCGGACGTGTACAAAGAAAAATTTAAAGGTTCATATGGGCTGGGCTAGCTGGACAGGTGTTTTGTGGGTGGCTAAGTGACTGTTTGCCATTGCACACAGCAACATCAATATTACTTACCTTAATAAGTTCTTCTGAATAATTCCGAAAAATTTCATTCTTAAATCGATACAAATACGTATCGTTCTCCCCTCGGGAAATGTTCTTTTTTCGTCCGGCAATAATTTCCTTTTCAATTTGCAGGTCAAGCTGTTTACTTCCGATCGGATTGGCTTTAGCGCCCGGCACATACAGTTTGAAATAATTCCGAGAAGATTTCTGCTTCCTTTGCAATTTCAGATCCATCACCTTTTTCATGGTTACGTTACGCAAAAATCGATTAATCAGAGAAGATTTTGAAGAAGATGGCCTCATGTTTTGCAAAGATTTTGAAACGCTAACGTCGATATCAGACCGATCGTCGGAAGTATCGGCTTTTAGAGAATGTGACGAGTAGCCTTTGTTGGCCTTCTTTTTTGGAGAATTTAAATGTCTCGTGTGGCCCGATTCGTTATAATCCCAAGTTGTATCACTGTCTGAAAAATCGATTGTTGCGGACGAGGCATATTTCTTAATGCTACCCAAATTGGAATTAACAGGCTTATCTTCTAAAATCTCTTCTTTGATGGGCGTAGATGCATTTAAAACATCAAAATTTTCTTTCGCTTCCTTTTCGATGGCCTTTTTCTCACGACGCTTAAAAAAGTTAAGTTCATTAAGCAACATCTGGTAGACGGTAGAGCTTTTCGGCTTTGTTTGCTGTTCAAAGGTTTTCTGAAATTTTTCATATTCGTAGGAATAGCTAATTCCTTTGTGTTCATAAACGTTACTATCACATATAATTATATTTGAGGATAAGGTTTGATTGCTCGGATAATTTGGGTAAAATCCCTCACTTTTAGTTAGTTTCAAATTAGTTTTCGCAAATTCTAAATTTAAGTTTCCGATTTTTTTTACAGGAGCAGGTTGTACTTCGTAACCATCAAAACTTTTGGTCGAGTGTTCGGAGCTTGAGTATTTTCTTTGTCTTTGACTTGGAATATCAGAAGTAGAATATATCTGTAATAAAAAAACGAATTATACTTACAAACTTGACCAATTAACGCTGGTGGCAGTAAAAGAAAATGTTAGATAATAATTATCCCTCAAGCAAATCTGAGTGTGAGGCAGAAAACAAGCATCGTCTCCAAATAAACTAAACGTTTTGCTCTTAAAAAATTTGTATTTCTTCTTCAATCTCATCAACTAACAGCTTTGCCTAGACTTTCAAATATGTGTTTGCGCTACTAAAGTTTTTCTAAAATGGGTAGACAACTTAATGTTGGAACCCCTTTGGAACGAGAGCTCGTTCAGATGTTAAGATTTCTATTTATTAATTGTTGGATGGCTCTAAATTGAGTTAAAAAGTTGTTAGAAAATTGTAGGATGTAGATCATCAATATTAAAACTATTGTTATTTCATACTATTTTTTTATTTTCTCTGTTCCCGGCAATTCCGTCCGCCTATCAGTCAATGGGCGCATTCAGCCGTACTCACCGCTTACATAGCTGTTCCTAATCCAACTTTCTCGTTTACTCTTTCTCATTACACTACAATGCACTGCACTAAATTTGTTTGTTTAGACCAGAGGTTTTCAAAGTGGGTGCCGCAAGTACTTCATAAGGGTACCGCGAAATTGTTAAATGTATAATTAACTTAAAATTACATAAATCAAAAATGGAATTAAAACAATTATAAAAAATGAATATTCGTTTTTTATTACAATTCTATGTTTTTAAGTTTCTATTTTATTTATTTTTGTTTCATAATTCATTAATCAATCATATGCTGGTATTGTGTTGCGTATCACTTTCTCTTTTAATACTCCGACTGTCAATATATCTTGTCAACTAATCTTGTTACGTACATTATCCATTTAATTTCTCAGTCTCTCAGTGGCTCGGTAAGTGGCGTCACGTAAATATTAGAAAAAAAATTCCAAAATGGCACTTCCCTCTCACAATCCTTCGCTCCTTCTTTTTCCGTTTCCTTTTTTCCGCGATCTATTATAGAAAAAAAAGCGCGGTCGGGGGGTTCGAACCCGCGTCATCATAATCGAAAGGCGGCAGCCTTACACTTGCAGTTTGCGCTCCGCACCGTCCTATTTAATATTAAAATCATTTTATTTACTATTCCGAAACTATTAAATTCGCTTTAAATGCGTATATTACAGTGACTTTCAAAGACACATCGCCCATTTTAATGCCTTATTTCCTTTCAAATGGACAAATGCACGTTAAACAATTGTGAGCCAGGCGAGCGGGTGGAGCTCGCCTTCGGCTGCCGAGTTTTATGCATGGAATACTCCCGTCCAAAACAAGTAACCTTAACAAACAAGAGAGAAATATTAAAGGTCCTTGAGAATGAGATGAGGATACGTCTTTCAAAAACACGACACAATAATCAAGGAAAAAAAATTTTTGTTTAGAAACAAACTTACAAAAATTATTTTTTAAAAACTTCTCATCCTAAATATCTTTACTAACTGTAAAAAAAGCAAAAATTAATAATACTTAAGGGTACCGCAAATTCTGTTTAATAATTTTAGTATGCCGCCAGACAAAAAAGTTTGAGAAACACTGGTTTACACTGACACCATTGCTGTCCCACGATGGTAAATTTCAGTTCCTCCTCACTCATGCTGACGATAAGTATTTACAATGAAATAAAAAATTAAGTTTTAGGTTATGAAGTATAAACAAAAACAAAATTGGCAGGTCATGATACATACGCGCCTTTACTTCGCTGACTATTCTAGTGGAAAGTACTTTCGCTGAGAAAAAATGGCGGGAGCTGTTAAACGCCCAACGACCACTGCGCGTTCAACAGTTACCTGACATTTGTCCAATCTCGCACAATTACGACATTGTGCAAGGGTGCACCATCCTGTTGAAACCAACAGTTTCCAACTTTTGTTTTTTTTGTGTACTGTACATCGTTGTATTCGTAATAAAAAATGCTACTCAATACAATATGAACTTTTTTAGGGGCCATATAAAAAAATAAAGATGATGATGATTTCTTCAAAACGAAATGTTGTATTCAATATCTCCCAGTGGTGTCTTGTAGAGCTCAAGAAGTGGCAATGAGGAAGTGTTTTTTATTTTTCTGTGACTGCTCAAATAACAAGAAAAAATAAAACCGAAATCAGCAAATTTTGGTGTTCTGGCATATCTTCGGAAGTTGAACTGGATTCTTCACGGAGCTGGAAGCAACACATAAACACCATTTGCAAAGCGTGTGCTAAAAATTGCTATGCTTTGATACGTTAAACTCAAATATCAAGTAAACATGTTACCAAGACATTTTCGAGGACATTTTATTATGCAAATTTTGAAGCAAAAATACGATACGCTGTTCTGTGTTGAGGTTTGGCACCTTCAACATTCTTCAAAAAAGGACATTAAGAGCTATGGTTGGTCTCGAGAAATTTGAATCTTGCAAAAAACCTTTATTGAGGAACAAATATTAACGTTTCCTAGTATATTTAAGAAACGCGTTTTATTCCAAGAATATTTAAATTTTAAACATCAATATACAGTGTGTCCCAGATCGGGTGGGATTGCATGGGCAACTTTCTTATTATTAAAGGTAGAGAATTGGTTAAATGGGCAATGTTTTGCAGTTTTAGATGCTTATTTAAAATTTCCTTGTGGAAATTCAAAACATCTGATGTAATTACTTCCATCGTTTTGTTGCCTCGAATAGATTTTGTTTCATAGCCTACTACTACTTGATTAAAATATAAAAACCGTTGATATAACTGGTAGGTATCTTATTTTCAATCTTATGCTATGATAGCTCGTTGAAAAGAGAATTAAAAAATCTATCAGATAATCTAAAAATCCAATATGGCGCCTATTTAACTTTAGAAAGTTGGTAAATGTTCGTCAAAGGTAGCCACCTTGAATTAATTTTGGACATCAATTCTAAATTAGGCGTATCAAAATATAAAACTTTTTTTTATATCTCTTATACTTTCGATGAAATAAGACATTAAAGGAAATGACCAATTTTAGTTTTTTTGAAATTACGTCGAACCTATTCGACATTTTGAATTTCCACAAGGAAATTATTATTATTATAAATATATACTTATTAATGGGAATAACCTGGTCACCCATCCCATCCTTCTATGTTATGGTTGCTGAGAAAAATACTAGGAAATATACTCGGAAAAATATTTATAAAGAAATATAAATGTTTAACGCTTGGGTAAGTAACTCTCATTCAAACGAGACACTTTGGACCCTTGGTTTATTTGGAAAAATTATTTGTTTTAGCCTCTCTACAATTTTTTGACATATGTTACAATCTCAACACCAAATTAAGATTGGTTCTTCACGCAAAACTGTTTTTTCTTGAACTCTTCAATAGCTCATTACGAGGGGTACACCACTTCAAATTTTGTGTACACTAAAATTCTAGCAAATTCTAAAAATTCTAGAAAAATAAAAAAAAAATTTCAAAATTCTAAAAAATTCTAGAGGAATTCAAAAAAATTCTACTAGCCTGTTGTTGAAATATCAACGCATTATGTACGCGACTAGCATATAATTTTTCCGCTAGTACTATGTAATTTGCGAGGTAATTTGCTACATACTTACAACTCTTGTACCTAAGTAATGTATTTTACCTAATTGCAAAATATTAAAATCACTAAATGAATTTATTTATACGGTCTTTTTTAACATAATCTGCATGCAAAGAACTACAAAGCTAATGCTTCAAACCCGAGCATTCCACGATGATTCCTTCGAGAGTTATACCAGAGGTTATACCTAAAAAACCAAGTAAAAAACCTTTGACCACCAGAACAGCCAAAGTGTGTAATCGGTACTTTTTTTCATAAACGCGCTAAAAATATACTTAGTAGGAACAATTTTCCAATATTTTATTGGCCCACGAAAACTCGTATAAATTGCTGATTGTAAATTCATCAATGAAAATTCAAAAAAAGTTGTAAAAAAATTCTAAAATATATAAAAAATTTTAGAAAATTCTAAAAAATTCTACAAAATACAGTGCAGTGATTTTCTCCTCGGCTCATGATAAGTAAGACATATTTAATATGGAAAATTGTTCTACGATAACTAATAATGAAAGGAAACTTGTTGATTTTCTAAAGGCAGATGATACATACCGAAACGTCCTCCTGCCCTTCCGGTACGCCTCTTTCCGCCAACGGAACCGATGTAGAGAAACTAAACATATTCTTCAAGCTGCCGAATATGTTCGAATCAAGCAAATTCGTCTCAGACTTTTTCTTACGTAGCGTGACTTCCTCCTGTACAATGTTCGTATCGATATGCTTAGCTTTGGTTTTCTTCAGGCAGCTCGATTTGGGCAATTTTTGCGTGGGAGGATCCCTTTTAACGTTCCCATCGTCGGACGTCGAATTCGAATAGCCGGTGTCTTCCTCGTCGATGGAACTGGAGATACTCGCGCTGGAACTCGACGACGAAGACGAAAATCGAGCGTGGTGAATGTAAATGTCCGACTTGACCTCCCTTTCTGGAACATTGCTGTGGTAGTAGGGCGTGTCGCCTTCCGCGGCCCAACTGTAGCGGCCCTTTACGACATCCGGCTTACGAGTGAAACCTCTTTCGAAGAAGCTCATCGACATATCAAATTCGTGAGTGATGAAACCGTGATTGATGTGGATGTCATCTATTTTGGTGCTATTTAATATGTCTTCGTGAAAAGAAACTCGTTTCTTAGGTGTATCTGATTTTGATTTTTTTCGCCGTTGACGTCTGTATACTATCTGATCATCGGGAAGAGGATTTTCTACGGATATTTCCAAATTGTGTTCTTGTCGCTCTACTTTTAGAGATTCATTGACTTCCTCGGACATGCTGACGTGCATTTCATTATCTGATTTGGCATTTTGCGATGTGTAATCCAAAAGTTCGTAACTGTTTAAAGAGACGTTCATTAGATCGTCGTTTTCCAATTTGCAATTCTCTTGTTTATCGTTAATTATAGGCTCTAGTTCAAAAACATCATCCACTGTCTCAGATTGAGGACGTAAGACACGTTGTAAAGGTTTGCTATATTTAGGAGACGATTTTGAGTCTGAATACAAGTTGATTTGATGTGGATTTGCAGCAAAGCCGATAGGAAGTACAGCCGGAGAGGTGTCAGATTCGCTTACATTATGGTTATCTATATCACTCATCGTCATAAAAACTGGTCTAGCTTTAGGAGCTTCTTGTTCAAGATCCAAGTTTTCTTTTTTAATTGTTTTCGCATGTTTTTGTTTCTCGTTTTCTTCGTCCATGTTAATTCCTGTGTCACTATCGCAGACAAAACCGCTCATTGACATTAAGGATGTGATTTCGCTTTCACTGTCTAAAAGTTGGACACCCGAATCTACAGGGGATGTTAAACTTGACGCCAGCGAGACCATGCTAGAAATCATTGGGTTATCTTGCTTGCACAAATCAAATGTAGATTTTTGCTTTATGAAATCTTCCACTTGACTATGTGGGAGATCTGCTGCTTGGTCACAATCCATATCTGAAATGTTTCATGACAAATTGTGCATAATTTTTAACAATTAACAAAACATAGCAGATAGAAGGTTTCACAAATGACCAACTACCTTTTGTTCGGTGTTCACTTTAAGGCGATATAATGGTGAAACTCCCTTCTTCCCTTGTTTGCACTAAACATTGCACAAAAACCTTAAACTTTAATGTTAAATTTGTTTAATTACGACATTATTTATTGTGGTGGATGACAATTCACACTGCGCCTGTCAGAAATTCGTATTGATCTCCAATGTGAGCAATTTTACCAAAGAACCCAGTACTCTATGTTCTATGATTGTACAATCACCATTGTACCGGGTGATCCAAAATGACTTTGGACAGTTTGAATTTTTCGCAAAACATTTATAAAGTGGGTAACATACCAAATGTCATTTATTTAAAAGCAGTAGTGGATCAATTTAGTGGATCACTAAACAATAGTTACAATTAATTAATTAAAAAAATTAATTTATCAAGCTGTCAGGGAAGCTTAATGGACTGTAATAAAGGTGAGTGACAAAAAACTAACATGAATTAGGCGGAATTTATTAACAAAAACAAACAAAACGAAAATAAAATTGAAAGCTGAATCGCACACACTTTACGTCAACAACTGTTGTTACAATTTTCTATCCAACTTGACCGTGAACGAAATATGATAACAAAACTGGATCTCAAATACAGAAAATAAAAATACTGTGTACAAAAGAAAATGTGTCATTTCTCAACACAAGCACACTTCGATGCATGTATTTAAATATTTATTCTAATGCTGCCCGAGGATGCTCAGCGCATTTAACATTTTCGTCTAAAATTAATAGTTTTGCCACAATTTGCGAAACACCACTTTCCACCCCTTTCAACCCCCCGGATTTCACCCGCGGAAAAATTCAGTTGTTTTAATTATTTTTTCCCAATTTCTATTCATTTCACCTGCCGAAAAACCCGGTTTCGCCCGGTAACTAATTTTTTTTAAATAAATTATTTTAGAGCTATTTAGCCTGGACTATATCTGTCACGAGTATCTAGAGGACGCGCGCACCTACGGCGGCACAAATTTAGATGCGTTCGTGCATAAATGCTCCCATTTGATTGAATAGAATTAGGAGCGCGGGGCGTTACAAAATCGCACGACATAAAACCGACCTAAGGGCCTTTTTTTCACACGGACCACTCTGTGGCGCCACTCAGAAGCGCGCGCTATGTTCTGTTTGCAACTTACGCACCACATGCAAGCCACCAACCAACAGGTCAGGTGTCTTCACTTTACAATGAGCAGTCGAAGCCACGCATTTCAGTGGGAGTCGACCATTGCCCGCCACCGTGGCACTTTTAAACAGGTGATCGCGCTCGCCAGAAGAGGTCCACAAACAATGTTTCTTCAAAACGCACAACTCAGTAGCGCTACAGTAACTCTAATATAGAGTCACTGTAAGTAGCGCCTTTAAGAAACGCCACAAAGTGGTCCGTGTGAAAAGACTCTAAATCGCTCAGCAGCGCTACTAAGTGGCGTGCGACTTGTTTCGCCGCGCGCCGGCAGATGACACTCGCGAAACTAAATAATAAAGTCACCATGGTACAATAAGAAATGAAACAAAATAGCTGTCAGTTCCAGTCAAGGTTCCAGTGCATCGACGCTCTTCTCACACTAGACGCCATTTTTTTTAAAAACGGCGGCCTCTCTTGGTACGTGCGCTTTCCATGCAAAAAAATTGCCTTCACTTACGCGGTAGCGCCTCTGAAAATCGCTTCCCACTACGTCAGTGGCGGCAGTGCCCACCCTGAAAAAATACAGTAAAAGCGCGCGTTTGTGTAGCAGTAGTCCGTTGCAAGTCGCGCAGACTGGCCACAGCGCCGCTCCGTGTGAAGGCGTCCATATAAATCAATGTTTGGCTACCAGCGGCGCCACTCTACAGCGCTTCTAAAACGTCTCGTGAGAAGGGGCTCCCACTTTTGATTACATTTACATTTGATTAAATGGTTATTTAAGTGGTTATTGACGAGTAGGTGCAGAATTGGTTTATTCCATTTGAATTTGTATCTCTGCAGTGTTATTTTTTCTTTTGGAATTGTTGTTTGTAATTGCATATTGTTTATTTAAATCCGTTCATTTAATTGTAAAACGTGAAATTGCGTGTTTAAATGTATGCACATCTGGTAGTTTGCGTTATCTAATCTAATTGTAATTGGCACATTTTTGATAAACACCACAGGAAGGTGATCATTCTGTAATGAAAGTGATGTTCCCTTAAATACGTGGGAGAAGATAAAAAGAGCGCTGCTGTTGTTTGGTTGGTGACGGCGATAGTTGGAAAAGAGTGTACGTCTTTTTACGCTATGTTTATTCAGTTATCCACCCGTTTGATTGATTGAAGACGCAATTCGTCATTTTTTATAATATTTCTGTACAGAAGAAAGTTAACTGAAGTTGTTACAACAGTGTGAATCAAGTTGAAGTAGAGGAAGCACTTTTAGTACACCGTGAGATCTTCTGTCAAGGTTTTCTTATTATCAGAGTTAAAAGTCCATGGCGTTCGCACAACCACCGATAATATTGTCATCGTATTTAACAGGCCGGTTTGTTTGTTAAAGAATAGTGAAATTCTTAGCGTTTGTGTTAAGTGCACCTATTTATCGCAAACATGTTTACGGCCAGATAAAAAGAAAAATTGTAAGTAATTTTTAAATTTTCTTATATTTTTAATTATCGAAGCTTCTTTTCCAGGAGTTTTGTTTAAACGTTTTTATTTAATGTATTTCGGAATAAATGTTTGTCATTGTTAATCAATTAATTGTGTTTATTCAAACCTACTGCGCGACACGGATAGTTTTCATCTCAGGTTTTTATTTTCATGTGCAAGAATTATCTCAGGTGTTAATGAAAATTTGTGTAGTATCTTTAGAATTTTCGGAAATTAATCGAGGTTACTGAGTCTCCCACGTTATTATTTTCTTTCCTGTGATTCAATGTCTTGTAAAATCCATGTTATATCTCTACCTACTAATGACCACAACATTGTCGATTAAGTGGAATAATTATGGGTTAGATGGAAGAGCAGAGGTAGACTTTCTACTCCTGATTTTCGCCCTTGGCAGTGTATTTTTCGTGGCTAGCTAAAACAAAACCAATAAAGACCGTTATTATTATTATTAATTATTTAAGACAATATTAGGATTTGTAGCAGATGCGTGATGTGAACGAGGAGAAATTATAAAATTCATAATTTAAAGATTATTTTATATAGTAGGTAGTTGACCACACACCATTGGAAACAGCCGTATAATATGTTAATATCCTATGGCTAACTATTACACACAACAAAACACAAAAATCAGACTACTTCAGTTAGCAGACCGATTTGGTTGAAATTTGAAACAAATATTCTCTAAATGGTCTTGAAAATCTTTTGGAAACCATTCGAAAATGGCGAATGCCTTTTTGGCAATAAAACCAATGTTAATTGATTTACGTATATTTTTATAAGGAGTAGTCCGATTGAGCTGAAATGTTATACCGATAGCCCTGAAAGCTGAGAAGATTTTGGAAACGATTGCAAAATGGGATATGCTATTTTAGCTACAAAAATTAAATTTATTGAATAAGGCATTTTGTTTGAAAGAATAAGCTCATGGAAATTTTAGATCACGCGTCTTATATAATCGTAATCGTATAATCTATACATAAAATAAATTAAACAAATATAGCAAACGAGCTCCTGGGTATGGCTATAGCATGTGCAAAACCAAATTTTAAACCTGATGTTAGTTTTGCTTTTATTCGAAGTGGCTATGTATCAAATTTCATTTAAATACCTTCATAAATAAGAAAGTTTGCAATTCGATCTGTAAATGGTCGAGATGCGATGGAATTGTGTTTTATATGGCTAACGCTAAGCGCATATTGAATTTCATGCAATTTGGTTCATAACTAACGGAGATGTCAAAAGGGCCTACTTTATTTTTTGGACTACATTGCCAATTCACGAAGTTCGATCTACAAGATAAAGAATCCACCTGCAAAATTTCATCGTAATCGGTCCATTCGTTTACGAGTTATCGTGCTAACGGACGGACGGACAGGCACTGCAAAATTATAAACTCGCTAGGAGCTCGTTAATAAAGCGTAGCCGTAGGTATTACTTACAGAACGAGACGCAGCCGAGAGACTCTATCAGCATAAAGTGCGATGCGAAATAATAATGTTAAGCATCGATGGTTTTTAAAATTATTTATTCCAAAATAAGTCACTAACATAACAATTCTCAGTTTAATTATCTAAATAATAGGTTTTACAAACAACTACATACAAAAATATGACACAAAAAAAACGTTAATCAGATTCAGATTCAAGTGAATCACTGAATCTAGCCGTTGGAATATTCTCGTTTTCTTCGGAGTCGGTAATAGGGGTAGGAATGTCCCAGTTACAATTTTGTTTACTTTGAATACTTACACGTTGTTTGAAAACAGTCTAAAAAATGTCTGCACGGCGTGTTGCTATAATCAAAAGACTTACGGTCACTTTAATATCGTGCATAAATGTCCTATGAGGGATAGCGTTTGCTGAAAAGTTACCAAATCTTTCAGCTTGCCGACATTGTTTTGTTTTTTCGGCAAATCGAAACATTCGCTCCGTGGTTCGTGCAATATACCTCAATTCGTGCAATGCTTGAAGCGATTCTATAAGTTTACTTTCTCTCAACAGTTTGTAGAAATCCATTTCCGTGTTATACTCCTGAAACGTTTTCAGTTGGACCAGTTCAGAAAGTGGCCGGGTACCTCCAAGAATTCTTGCTCCAGTAACTTTTCCTGTGAAATTCGTATGTGCTGCGACCAGTTATGGAATCGACGTGTCAGTTGAGTGACAAATGCAGTGTCGATTGCTAATGGTAGCACGCCTGCGTTTTCTAAGTCACGACTCACTTCCATCCAGGTTTCACCTAATTTCAACGCTAAGAAGTTTTCTGCCAAGTGCAACGTGATCTAAAAAGTCCCGTGAAACCCAAAGATATTTATAACACAGTCATATAAAACCTTGTCTTCAGTCTTCAAGTTGTCGAGGTTAAACATGCAATAGTGTTCATTCGCTATATCAACTGATAAGTTGTGACGGTTATACAACAAGTTTATTATGGCGTAAACCTTTGGTCTACAACTGCCAAGAAGGTCGACAATAGCTGGTGTGCTGTAGAGATCTTTTTGTATACCGAAGGTTTCGTACCACTGCTGTTGACCCATTAGTGGAAATTCAACATCTTTAAAATACAAGAAACAATTTCAAATGATCATTAGCAAACTTCCTTACCAGACACAGTTCCGTCATATGATGTCCTAACACCCATTTTCATGCACTCGTCCCTAAAAATTGTAAGTAGAGCGGGAAATAGTGGCTGCCCGGAATTTCTCCAAGTAATTAAGTAAGGAATACCAGTTCCTGCATCGCACAATTCAACTAAAAGTCCCAATCCTACCACTTTAATTGGAAATGCAGACGCCTACAAGCTCAGTAAATCGGACAAAATTCATTAATACTGATGGGACAAAATACCTACAGAGATCAAATCGAGTAGTAGATATACACCACCGCTTCCAACGAAGGCCTGCAAATTGTTATCATCCCAAGCCACCGCCTCCCATAGAAAATCAAGTCCACATATCACCAACTTGGGATTAATTACCGGGTCTTGTACATGCGGAGTTAACACTCTTCCCAACAACTTGGTACATAGATCTATAACATTCCCCCACTTCTTCGGTTTAACGAAAATTAAGCTTTCTAATGCGCAAAAGGCGTACGTTAAGCACTCTTGGCTATTCAGTGATAAAATCGCAAGTGAAAGTAGCTTATCGCAAATGACTAAAAAATTGGGGTTAGTTGTGGGTGCGAATTGCAATGTTCACCTGTTAAAATGTTGAATGCGTCGTGATTTACAAAACTTGTACAAATTTCTTTGTGCTTCATTGTAGCTATGGCGTTAATGGATTTTAAACAATCTCTTAATAGCAGCAAATCGTAGGGTTGAACATTGAAGCGCTCAATCATCGATAGCATTCTAAAAAATTTCTTATTTGTTAAGACATGGAGATGGGGAGATCTTCCATATTTGAAGTTCATACAGTAGTTACCTAAGTGGGCCATTGCTATTCAAAAACTCATTAGGTACAGCCTGAGCAACCATGTGCAAGGCATTTATAGCCATTGAAATTAACTTAACCTGTTGATCTGGAAGCCAGGGTTTACTCAGTTCTGGAGTTAGTATTCGTATCAGAGATGGAATGATTCTTTTCGGATGTACAATCTGGAAAAATCATCAGCAAATAGTTTACTGGCCGTGTGAGATAAAACCTTGAGCGTCAAGGGAAGTTTCGAGCAATAGCATATTGCAAGTAGCAACATTTTCTTAAATTCGTAATCATAGTCGTTGGTACCAAACGTAACGTTGGTAATCCAGGTACCCCCCGTGCCAAATTCCGTTGCTGAACATAGCACCCCGATATCTGGTTAGGTAAATCAGGTGTATCAGTTTGGAATGTATCGTAGGTACTTACCGTTCGCCAGCCCCGATAGATTTAACTGTAAGTTGGGAAATAAATCCATACAGTGAAGTATGACGGACATAATGAAATTTCTATAAATTTGGTTGTTGTTATTCGTAAGTGTCCTGAGCAATGACTGCAAACATCTAAAAATATCTAATTTATAAAATGGATGGCCAGATGTTTGCTACCGCAAAGCCTCTCGAGAGGGACCCAACAAATTTCGTTTGAATCGATCGGTTTCATTTCTGCTAGCTTCCAATAGGCGCCAAATTATCTTACAAGAAATGACGAAATTAGCACTAGTGAGATTAATTCGTGTTAGTATATAATCCAAAGCATCCTCTTGAATCATTTGATGGCCTGGCAGAAATGGGTTGCTGTTTGAAGACGCGAAAGTCTACTTACATACTGCATCCGATATTTTTACGAACAACCAACAGATATCTAAAAGCGCGTCAAATAAATCTTCATCCGCTAATTCTAACAACTTTGTCACAACAGTGGGCAACTGACTTCGCTCCACACTTTGTAGCAAGGCTTGATGTGGCACGCTGTTCACCACTATGGGAGCAATTTTCCGAACAAGATTTGTAATGGCCAATAAAATTAAATCTCTTAATTCTACTTCTTGGACCTCTATTAACATGTAACCAAGAAAGGAACAATATTCATCCAAGTCCCTGCCAAGTTCCAAAACATCAGAAGCTCTTTCCAACAAAGGTGGTACGATCGCCAAATTCAATAGTGACTTTAAGCGTGGTTTAAACAAGCAAAATGTATTGATGTGTTTAAAAAGGTGCTCCAATATTTTTATGATGTAAGGAATGTCGTGCAACCACTGTAAGATAAAACTGAAAATTATACAATACAGTAAAGAACGAAAGGATACAAAAGCGCGCGGCGAAAGATGTATAAACTTGTCGAGCAGATCAGTTTGTCTTTCAAGTTGATGCGTTGCTATTTCATCATGCATAAGAAAGGCTAACTTCCTGACTATCCATTGCAGATTTTGGGGGCAGTTTTGGTCAAGGACAACCTTTTCGGACTCGCATTCACAGGAATTACTATCTCCATGTTCTGACATCTGAAAGCGTGGATCTACTGATGTGATGATACTAGATTTTTTGCTTACTTGTGTTACAACGAGAATGTGAATAACAATCGGAATATAAATCGCGGTCCCTGATGTTAAAAGAAAATAAGCAAAATAGATGAACGAACTAAGCATAAAACAATTAAATTGCCAATATGTCAGCAAACGAAATGAATGAATTTGAAGCAAACGAAAACTACCTGAATTCAGTGGTGTTCCCATAAGGTATACTCCATGTACGCCGTATACTCTCAAGGATTTTTTAGACATATATAGGGTATACTCTCAATCAAATCGCCACTAGACATGATAATTATACATCAAGGGAATTTAAGGTCTTATGTCATCCGCAAACACGTTTTTTTACCAATTTAGACTGCTGAAACTGCGTTTTGAGTATCAAATTTTTATAAATTTGTAAAGGGATGACCGCCCCCCTCGCGTTTTAAAGGGAACAGCACAACCACCCGCTCAACTGAGTACACTCTCAAAGAAATTGATGGGAACATCACTGCCTGAATTGCAGTGTTGGTGCAACAATGGTGATCTACTTCTATTAGAAATAGAACCAAGCTTGTAGTTTCTCTTTGGTAGTTCGCTTAGTTTCACTGTGGATGAAACCTTCGGTTCCATCTTCATAATCTCCAAAATATCTTTAAAATCTTTTCAACGAGTGAAAAAGGTGAAAGATGTTCAGACTTGAACGAAATGTGAATTGTGTGTGGTCTATTGACTCAGGGAAAAACGTGACCCATAACGCTTTATACACACTGGCGAGTGTTATAAACTTCAGTGCGTGCTTTGTACTTTAAATTTTGGGAAATACAAATGACGTACGGACGTTAGTTATGTGGCGGAAATACAGTGCCCTTTTTGTGCTATTCACATTAATTTTGGAAGTTTTTGGGAATCAAGGTAAGGATTTTTGCAATTTCTTAAGTGCCACTAAAATACGCGGCGTATTTTTCGTTGTTTTTATCACGCTTTAATTATTTATCGACTATAAGATTTAATAGAGAATGTCAAAGTTTCTATATCTCGAAAAAGACGGAAATTAACTTTACCAAATTACAAATCAGTGAACGCAAACAATTATTTTGTACAATCGTTAACTAGGAATAATTTGACGAATAAATTTATTAGGAGGTGGATATTGGGATCCCAAGAGAAATTTGTTTTGGGAATTATTTTGATTGGGGAATCGTTAATTTTGATTTTGCGATATATAATTAGTAAGTTAGGAGGTGGATATTGGGATCCCAAGAGAAATTTGTTTTGGGAATTATTTTGATTGGGGAGTGGATCGTTGGCGGGAATTCAAGATGCCAGCAGTGATTTTGCATTTAAAAAATGTAGGTATTTAAAATATAGCTTTTTAAAATATTTATTAGTAAGTAAGTATTGGTCACATATTTAGGTATGTCGTTAACGTTAATTGAGAAATTATGAAGTTAAAAACTAAATTTAAAAAATAATCAGACAAAGGTTAATCAAAAATAGCTTTAATCTTAAAAGAAAAGTCATATGTAATGATAAAACATCAAACGTACAGTAAAAAAGAAGGGGAAACCTCTAGTTGTTTATCACAACACAAGCGCACGATATTGAGGCATTTTTAGTTACAAAGGTTGCGTTTTTTTTTACATTTTACACACACAGATAGGCCGCAAATAAATCCTTGACCTGTTCCTATACCTGCTGCCTTTTTCTTTAGATACTTTGAATTTGGACCAGTATATTAAGAACATTTAAATAGTGATCGGGTACTTTTTCCAATGTCTTGTCTAGCGAGTTCAACAGAGTTTTTCGTAAACTATTTACATTCAGGCATAAATGAAGCGAGCCCACGCAAAGTCAATGTCAGTCGATTGATGCACAGAATAAGACCTATAGAACTATAAAATTGTATAAACCTTGTACTCACAACTTACCACTTTGCAATGGTACAGAACATCTCCTGACTAGTGACTACCATGGTTCGGAGAGCATATAAAGCTGGCGGTCCCGGCAGTCATACAGCATACTATGACTCGTTAGGGCCCACAGACGGCTGTTGATGCGATCTGAAAACGTCTTACCTATAGGGCGCCCTATCTCAGTTTGCAGTCGGGCGCACAGGGAGCCAACACCTACCCTACGTAAAAGGAAGAGCTGAAAACTGTTAGGCAGAATCGCCGGGAAGTTCGTAACAAAAAAATGTATGACGTTTTTCTATATGTATAATAGCTAACGTAAGCGGTACTTGCGGGTGGTAGCCACAGCAAATGTTTATTTAATATGTTTCAACAGGTAGAGCGGACGAAAAAGAATGTTTCCATATCTGCGCAGGCGCGTCTTAACTTTAGTATTTAGTAAGATATGTAAAGGAAATGTTTATTGCAGATACTGCTCATACAAGAGAATCACGTGCATGTGCAGATCCAATTTCCTTAATTATGGATCAATTTTTAAGAAATTTTGATATTATATCCTTCTGATATACCTATGCAATTAAATACATATCGGATGTCTGAAAAATACGCAATCGCTTAAGCATAGGAATATTTACACATGTACCGCTTTATAGCGAACAGAACAGAAATAAAAAGTGATAACAACGCGTGTGTTTTTAATAAAATGTGTGCAATTTGAGATAAGGATTGGTTAGACCGTGTGCCCGAGAATTTTAGACTACATACAAGGTAATTAATCTCACAATGAGTTTAATTCATAAATTGCGTGTCTACTTTTTTGCTTTTCTACCTTATATTATCTACCTTATGTTACAGTAATATCTCGAATTACTGCGAAAAAAAAACGTTTATCAAATTCGCTGTTTACTTACTTACTGCGGCTGTTGCTACTTTATTGCGTTGTCTAACGTTTAACAGCTTTGCATAAATTGAGTTGAATTAATCGTTGTCCTTTACCATTGAATAAGTAAATTACTTATTCAATGCCTTTACTCAATAGCAAATCACTGATTTCTTGATTTTTTTCCAGATAAGTATGTGTACAACCGAGATGAAGATGTATCTAGTGATACCACGACCGCGAGAACGACGACTGATAGATCGTTAGCCGAAATTTCAATTGAAAAATTTGCTAAAAGTTCAGATGCATTTAACAAAACATTATTAGAACACCCAGTGAATGAGACCAAAACCGTAAGTGAAAAACTAGACATAATAAATTCATCTCAATTGTTATCTGTATAGGGTGCGCATATCTATTATAACAGCACTATTACGTTTGATTCCGCAATTGCTGGACAATATTGGGTCCACATTGATAATAATAGTGATGTTATAGTTAACGAATTATTGTCAAATGCACATCGCAGGGCTGTCGTAAGTACCTACTTATTCAAATTTTATGATTTACCTCTCGATAATAATTTCCTACAGACCGTAACGCTGTCGTTTGATTTTCCATTTTATGGACATCTTATTCGAAATGTTACCGTATCTACAGGAGGATTTCTTTTTATGGGCCAATATATTCACTTATGGCTAGCGGCGACGCAGTACATCGCGCCGCTTATGGCAAACTTTGATACATCAGTATCAAATGACAGTTTCATTAAGTATTTGGATAATGGTAAGTCTTCCTGCTTGAACACACGTAATACGATCAGATGCAAGAAAGAATAGCAAAATCCGAACTGAAAATCGGTCGTGTCTAGTACAAAGCCAATCAGGGCAGCAGGTTTTTCTAAAAAAAAGGCTTGTCAGTATTCTAAAACCATTATTGTTTTAGGAAACCAAACGTAAATGCCTTCTAAGTTCTAATTGTTCATCCGTACTGTAGTGTCTTAGAGCAGAAAAGATAGAGGAGGGGTAAAAAATGAACGTAAAGTAAAGCAAATTTTGGCTCTGTTTGCCACCAAAAACATGGCCGCCGACAACCCTTTTTCCTAGAATTAAAGCAACAACCGTACCTACCGTATCATTTTTACAAAATAACAATAGAGTCAATTTATATGCTTACAATCACACACGGCCGAAAATGCAATCATCTATAACACGGCATAAACAAGAAGTAATATTTCGACATCCAATCCGAAGACATTGTATAGAATACCATGTAGTTCGCTTGCTCGAACTCATATCACGAGTATTTAAAGAAAGGTTTCACAAAAAGGAAACAAAAATAGAAGTGCGACCCTGCCGCCGAGCCGCCACTGAGTTAACCTTGCGTTTCGTTCCTCGCGCCAGGCGTCAGGTGATTCATTCTTCGCTTTCTCGTGCTCGTGTTCACATTCACATCGTTGTCTTGCGTTTTTCGACGATTTTGGTATCTGAGTATAACTAAATGATTTTATTTTAGCGGTTTTTATTAACCATAGGTATTTTTTTTAGGCTTGTGCATGTTTTTGGCGTTGTCGACCATAGGCCTTTTTCGCCCGTATGTAATTTTTTACTACACATGGGCAAGTCCAACAAGCGGCATCGCTCTAGGAGCAGGGGGACGTCAAAAAGCGACCTACGAAAACGCCTTCGTAGGCTTGAGAGACTTTTAGAGGATAAGGAAAATGTGGAAAATGTGGACGGCGGCCATGACAGGCAGTCTCGGCCTCCTTTTCGAGCTATTAATAGAAGATCGGATTCCCGGTCTAAACGCGACTGCTCTGATTGCAGTTACAGCAGCGTTGAAAGCTTAAGCATTGCTGATGTTCCATCAACAAGTAGGCATCTTAGACGAAGACGTTCTTTGTCTGCTGAGGCTTCGTTAAGCCTTTCGCCTGCTCCTTCTTTAAGGGCAGGTGACAAATCCCAGACTTCTTTAAGTCTTTCTCCTCACTGTGAGGCTGAGGACCTACACGGAGCGGATGGTAGACCAAAGCCTAGAGCTCCTTTGAACTCGACTAACGGCCCTGAGACCGAATTGGAAGAAAATGTACTCATCATCGACGACGGCTCTTTAGCCCTTGATGATTTTGGAGACGTTTTAGGAAATGATTGCCCTAGTACTCCAGTTAAGGCGGACTGTTTACATGAGGCACTTTCCTCAAGGTGGAACTACATTGTAACAAATGGCCTTTCGCAGGAAAATTTACTTTCCTTAACTCAACGTTATGCAGTCCCGGAGAACTGTCCGACACTTAACTCACCTAAGCTAAATCCCGAAGTTTTAGCAATTTTGGCCAACGATCGGGTGGCTCGGGACAATTTTAATAAAAGTATCCAAACGAAACTCGCAACGGTTTTGGGAGCTATGGGAAAGTCTTTGACAGCTTTGCTGAATGACAATCCTATTCCAAAAAAGTTACGTGATGAAATTGTAGCCCCTTTGGGTGATGCTAGTCGTTTACTGGCGCACACCTTTCACGACATCTCTGACTCTAGGCGTAATTTGATTTTACCAACCCTTAACAAAAACATTAGGGAGGTTCTAGGGAGAACTAAACCAGGAGATTTCCTTTTTGGATCAGATGTTTCAGAGAGCGTCAGGGAAGCTAAGTCTCTACAGAACGCAGGAAAGGAATTAAAGGCGGCTACTCCTTTGCAATTCTCAGCTTCATACAGAGGTGGTAGGAACTCTGGGCGAATTCGTTTGAAGCCTGTGTTCACATCAGCGAAAGACCAGCGTTCTTTAAACCGTTACGGCCCGACTCGTCAAAAGGGACAGTCGAGATCATTCCGAGGCCAGCAGTCCCATCAGAAGCAGGGGAAATACAGACGATAGAGCAGGTAAGCCCAATTGGTGGTAGGCTCTCACTTTTCTATGACAAATGGTGTTTGATTACTTCAAATCCCGTAATACTGAAATGGATTAAAGGCTATGCCTTGCCATTTTGTAGTTCACCTAGTCTAGAGCAAGTACCCCCAACAAAGACCTGGACGACTAAAGACACTGCTATGCATGAGGCAATTAAGTCTTTACTCAATTTAAATGCGATAAGCAAGTGCAGTCCTTGTCCAGGGCATTTTATTTCTAATATCTTTTTGGCTGATAAATCTGATGGCGGTAAACGATTCATACTTAATTTAAAACATCTTAATTCCTTTTTACAAACATCTCATTTTAAAATGGAAGACATTCGAACGGCCTTAAGGCTTGTCAAAAAAGGGTGTTGGTTCACAACTATTGATATTAAAGATGCCTACTTCCATATAGCCATTGACCCAAAATTTAGAAAGTTCTTGAGGTTTCAATTTAATCACGATCTGTATGAATTTGCATGTTTGCCTTTTGGGTTGGCTTCAGCCCCTTATGTGTTCACAAAACTAATGAGACCTGTTACACAATGGCTTCGATCTAAAAACATTATTTGTGTGTGTTATCTGGATGACTTTCTGTTATTCAATTCTTCGTATGAAGGCTCCTTACATGACACTAAGGTAACCGTAAATTTTTTGAAGTCCTTAGGGTTTTCTATAAACGTTAAGAAAAGTCATTTGAACCCCAGTCAAACCATTAGATTTCTGGGGTTTTTATTAGACTCAGAACTATTGAAAATTTCTTTACCTGCAGAAAAGAGGGAAAAAAATAAAGATTTGGAGTAAAACTCTCCGGTCTAAGTCTCAATGCAAAATTCGTGATCTGGCGCAGTATATAGGATACCTGGTCTCTGTTTGCCAAGGCGTCAAGTACGGGGGGGCTCATGTTAAGCTCTTTGAACGCCACAAGTGTCTAGCACTAGCAAAAATTAATGGGGATTTTTCAGGTCTAATGGTACTGCATAGGGATTTGCAACAGGATTTTTCGTGGTGGATCAATTCAATTGATTCCTCATATAATGATATTAGAAAAGATCAGTTCGTTCTCGAAATTTTTACTGATGCTTCGCTTACAGGGTGGGGCGCGTGCTGTGGGTCAGATAAGATTCGAGGGTGGTGGAGCCCAGAGGAAAGAATAAGACATATTAATTATTTAGAACTTTTGGCAATTTTTTTTTGGGCCTTAAAAGCTTTGCTTCTTCGGCCACCAATTGTAACATATTAATAAGATGCGACAACACTACTGCTTTGTCCTATGTAAATAAAATGGGTAGTGTCCATCACCCAAAGTTTTCGGCTCTTGCAAGGGAAATTTGGGATTGGTGCGAGGTACGCAACTTGTGGATTCTCGCCTCCTACATTAGTTCTTCGGATAATTGGATTGCGGACCGAGAATCTAGAAGCTTACCCCCTGAAACGGAATGGAGTCTCTCTAAGGAGGCATTCGATTTGGTAACTCGCCAGTTTGGAGTGCCAGAAATAGATTTATTTGCCTCCAGAGTTAATAACAAATGTGATCGGTATGTCTCCTGGCAGAAAGACCCTTTTGCTTTTAAGATTGACAGTTTTACTTTTTCGTGGGAAAAAATGTTTTTCTACGCCTTCCCACCCTTTGCTTTAATTTTAAGAGTCTTACAAAAAATAGTAGATGATGAGGCGGAAGGGATCGTTATAGTCCCTAAATGGCAAAACCAAGCTTGGTTCCCACTTTTTTCTAATTTAATTATTGAAGGACCTATCTTTTTTAAACCTACTAAATTTTCTTTGTTTAATCCTTACAGCACCGATCCACACCCACTGGCGGACAGGCTTACACTTCTAGCAGCGAAGCTATCAGGGAAGCGTTCAAATTAAAACACTTACCAGCGAAAGTTGTTCAAACAATTCTCAGTTCCTTATCAGCGGCAACAATTCGGCAGTATGGAGTAACATACAAGCTCTGGTGGCCTTTCTGTGAGAAGAAAAGTATCTCTCCGTATGATGGGACTCCAGCTCTCGTAATGGATTTTTTACAACACCTGTTTGACATAGGGAAAAATTCTTACGGGTCATTTAATTCACACCGCTCCGCCTTGGCTCTGATTTTGTCAACGGACTTAGCGGGCCATCCCGTTTTGTCTCGGTTTTTGAAAGGGATATCTAAGCTTCGGCCTCAAAAACCGAGATACAATGTCACCTGGGATCCGCAATTAGTTCTAAATTTTTTAGAACAGAGAGAGTCATCCACGCTTCAAGCTTTGTCAGAGAAGCTAATCACCTTATTAGCTCTCTCCACCGCACACAGGATGCAAACGTTTTCGCTGATACGCCTACGTAATATTTTAGAATCAAGTACTGGATTCCAAATTTTGATCGAGGACCAAATTAAGACTTCAGGCCCAGGAAGAAAGCAACCTTGCTTAAACTTGCCCTTCTTCGTCGAAAACCCCAGACTCTGTGTTGCGACAACTTTGAAGAGGTATTTAGCGGCCACAAAAGAACATCGCACATCGAATATGGACTTTTTATTTATTACTTTTAAGAAGCCACACAGAACTGCCAGCAGGCAAACTTTAAGTAGATGGGTGAAAGACACTTTAGATGCAGCGGGTGTGAACACTCTCATTTTCAAAGCCCATTCTACACGCCATGCCTCAACATCTAAAGCTTGGCAGTTAGGAGTACCAATAGAAGTAATTCAACAAACGGCGGGCTGGACAGAAAATTCAAAAGTGTTCTGTAATTTTTACAATCGACCACTATCACAATCAAATACTTTTGCGACAACCATTCTTAGTTCTAAGTAGACGTAACATTTCTTTTATATTAAGGGGGATTAAATGTGCATTATTTCTTTGTGTGGAATTTTTAGTTGAATGCTGAAAAACAAAGCATCTTTAAACAACTACATGGTATTCTATACAATGTCTTCGGATTGGATGTCGAAATATAATTAGACGATCAAACTAACTTACCTGTGAAGTTCGATCGTAATTATATGAGACATCCAATCCGAAGACATTCAAAACCCACTCTCCCAGGCCCTAGGTTTTTCAGCATCACTATTAATCTTTAAACGGAATGAATCACCTGACGCCTGGCGCGAGGAACGAAACGCAAGGTTAACTCAGTGGCGGCTCGGCGGCAGGGTCGAACTTCTATTTTTGTTTCCTTTTTGTGAAACCTTTCTTTAAATACTCGTGATATGAGTTCGAGCAAGCGAACTACATGGTATTCTATACAATGTCTTCGGATTGGATGTCTCATATAATTACGATCGAACTTCACAGGTAAGTTAGTTTGATCGTCTAAGTAAAAAAGCTTTGTTTGCCACCCACCTATTCCAAAATTTGCTTCAACCCGCAGCATTGCATTTCATTGGGTATTACCGTCCCCGCCGCGCCGTCCATAATCTGAGTATTACTGTATACCTATAACCCCCAGGTTCTACGCTAACTTCATACTAAAGTACCGCGGATATAAAATCAACCCGGAAACATAAAAAAATGGCTTTAGGGAAGCCTCTCCAAAACCGGATCCCGCTTACATTTGAAATCGAAAAGTGGCACGTGATCGAAAACCTAATGCAGCGCCCCCTTTCCTTAATTGTAAATAAGTTATTTTAATAGTCTATAATTTCAAATAAGTAATAGTGACAATGTTCGCAATATGTAAGATAATTTGTTCCATTCAAATTAGCGTGCAAGCACGTAATATAGCTACACAACAGGTGACTCATCTTCGATGTAATAAAAGCAAAATAGGAAATTACATGGCCTTGTAGGGCAAATTTAACGTCACCCTCAAAATATGTGGAAATTAGTGACCCGCGACTCATATATTCTAAACCAAAGAATTTTTGTTAGCAAAGTCCCACACCTGGGCCAGGTAACTTTAGTCGTCGTGCGGTAGTTCTAAGCCTATAGTTGAGATTCAAGATCAACCTCAGCCTTAAATGTCATAACGAATTTGGTGACAGTAATTCGCATCCCTGCGACTGTCTTCAGGACGAAAACAACAAGTCACGGCTACACACATCAAACAATTTGACAACTTCCAAATATTTAAACGAGCATGTAGTCAAAACAACTAAAAATTGAGCAAACATTTAGACCAAAAATGAAAATGTGTGAAACAATAAAAGTTAACGACAACATGTGATTCCGCATTGAGGCTACCTGTATTAAATAACACAAAAAAAAAACTTATACCTACGACAGACACAATGCTCTCACGACGATAGCTCAAGCCAAGATCAAACAAAAATAAAAGATTATTGACTTCACTGTATTTCCAGTAGATATCTAGAGTTGGAAGGCGTAAATTATAAGATTCATCATTAGTTCATTACATATATTCTTCAGTGACTATCAATTTTCAACCATATACCAAAGATAGCAACAGAAAACCAACGACTAAAAGTTATTGCTTTACAGGAACCGCCTTCACAGTCGTTTGGGACCAAGTACGTTTACAAGATAGTCCCCATGCGGGTTCCTTTACATTCCAAACCACGTTATTTAAGAACGGGGATATAGTATTTGTTTATAAAAATATTCCCATCCCCGTGGAGGACATTTCTGACATTAGTCATCCTGTTAAAGTTGGGCTTTCCGATGCATATCGTAAAAGTCACAGCATATTCTGCAAGTATTGTTAATTAAAGTGCCAGCCTGTAATTCTCGTGGTTTTTAGCTAATAAACAAGCAATCTATGAATATCATCGTGTGAAATTTAGCAAGGAGAACATTAAAAATGATACAACAATTTATCTAAAACCCACTTGTTTGCATAGTAAAGATTGCCATTCGCGTCAGACAACACAAATTAATAATTTTGAGGTATGGATACTACTAACTATATTGTCCTTCAGGCGAGCGCACCCTGAAGAATTGCAAGACTGATTTTTAATCTTTCTTATTAGTTTATGCAAAGTAACGAAACCTTTAATGGAACGACAACTGAGCAATCATTAGCCGAAAATTCAATTGAGAAATTTGCTAAAGAGTCAGAGAGCCGTAACAAAACGTTATTAGAACACCAAGTGAATGAGACCAAAACCGTAAGTGAAAAACTAGACATAATAAATTCATCTCAATTGTTATCTGTAGGATGCGCATATCTATTATAACAGCACTATTACGTTTGATCCCGCCATTGCTGAACAATATTGGGTCCACATGAATAATAACAATAGTGACGTTAGAGTCATATTATCAAATGCACATCGCAAGGCCGCCGTGAGTACTCAAGTTGTAGTCTATCTCTCGTTAATAATTTCTTGTAGATTGTGACACTGTCATTTGATTTTCCATTCTATGGACATCTTGTTCGAGATGTCACTGTATCTACAGGAGGATTTATTTTCATGGGAGAAAATCGGCACTCATGGCTAGCGGCAACGCAGTACATCGCGCCGCTTATGGCTAACTTTGATACATCGGTATCAAATCACAGTTTCATTAAGTATTTGGATAATGGTAGGTATTCTTTTGGTTGGACATTCTACCTACGTCAGGATCTCGCCCTCGAGATAGGTAACAATGGACCCTGGTTGCGGGAGTTTTACTAAGCCTATAGTTGAGATTGGAGATCAATCACAGCCTTAGATGTCGTAACTAATTTGGTTACAGTAATTCCCATCCCTGTGACTGTCTTCAGGGCGAAAAGTGTTACTAAGAATTCGAGAACTTCCACATATTTAAATAACCATTTAGCCAAACATAAATTGAGCAAACATTTACCCCAAAAATTAAAACGATATCAAGCAATAAAAGTTAACGGTATTTTTCACAGACGTGATTCCGCATTGAGGCTAAACCATGTTAATTTCAAAACAAAGATTGAAAATTATAAAAGAAAATTATGAAAGAAAATGTGCAAAGATTACTACCTGCATAAATAACAAAACAATAACAAAAAACAACGATAACAACTAAAAGTTATTGTTTTACAGGGACCGCTTTCACAGTCTTTTGGGACGAAGTACATTTACAAGATAGTCCCGAGGTGGGTTCCTTTGCATTCCAAACTACGTTATTTAAGAACGGCGATATAGTGTTTGTTTATAAAAATATTCCGATTTCCGTGGAGAACATTTCTGAAAATAGTCATCCTGTTAAAGTTGGGCTTTCCGATGCATATCTTAAAGATAAGATCGTACTCTGTAAGTACCTATTGTTATTTGAAGTGCCAATCCCCAATAAGTCTTATAATTTTTAGTTGTGCGAAGAAAATCAATCTATGAATATCATCGTGTGAAATTTAGCAAGGAAAACATTATAAATGATACCGCAATTTATCTAAAACCGACGTGTTTGAATAGGAAAGATTGCCTTTCGCTTCAGACATCAAAAATTGCTAATTTTTAGATATGATACCATTTAATCAACAAGCGGGCGCGCTATGAAGAATTGAAAGATTTTGTTGCTTCTTTAATATTTTTAATCTTTTGTATTTGTTTTGTATATGTTATTCATTTTTCCATAAAATAAAAAGTACTGCGCTATAGTCTTCGGGTAAATTCACTCTAGATGCAGACTTAGAGGATAGTGTTATGACCCTAGGTCTTACGTTCTGTCTGGTAGTGTTTTAAGTTACCTACAATTTTAGTAACTGTCGTCTGAAAACTGAACAGGACCCAAACCGCCCGTAACGACATCAGTATTTTTTGGGCAAGTTTTTATTGGGTTTGAATGCCATCCTTTCGGTTTACTACGAACGCACGGATAAGTGGCGTGACCATCAACTGACGAACTGGCAGGGCTGAAATGGCCTGCAGTTTGTAGAACAAAAATTTAACGCTCAATTCTAGTCTGAACTACAGCTGCAGTAAAAAGGGAGGTATTGCATTGGAGTAAAACAGTAAATAATGACGCCCCACTTTTTTTACGGCAATACACTTTTGAAGCATCAGGAATCCCAACCAAACAAAATCTCAATGATATATGTCTGTCTGTCTGTGCTATCATTTCCGTCTAAATGGCTGAAACGATTGGAACCTAAATTGGTACACATATTCCTAGATAAAAAGGGAAGAGATAGACAGCTTTTGGGCAGAATCGCGCATGTGCAAGTGTGTCAAAGTAACAAACGATTTTTGACGTTTTTCCACATCATGGGTAAACTGTTGCATCGTGCGGGTGGTATCTATGCTAGCCACAGTAATCTATTTCATTTATTTTTCCAGTAGACTCGTACAATTTTCCATTGAATTGTTATTGAACCAAGATAAACTAGAGAATTTTTCTATAGATTTAACTAATAGAGTGGACAAAGATATCGGGCCATTAAAAATGTGCAAGAAATCTCTCTATAGTATGACAGGTAACATACCCTGGCAGTTTTGAAATTTAAATTATTCCCGCTCTTATGCATTTCATTATGAGAAAAACGCAAGCTACGCCACTTGAAATATTTTCGCGGGAAGTACAGCAATTCGAATTGCACAAGTACAAAGCCTCGCTATTGGTCCAGCGTAAAAGAATGTAGGTATGGTTTGGTTTTTTTTTGCAGAGGCGGCAGATAGCTTTTGGTGGTATATGTTTGATTTGCAAATATTCCCAATTCAGATTAATAGTGAAACCTATGGTAGTAACACATTGTAAATACTATTGGTGGTGTACAATGAATAAAAATTCATGGATAGTTGTCCAAAAAGCGATGAAGAAACCCAATACCCGTAGTCCTGAAAACGCATTTGCTTTTAATTTTGGCCAATTCACCAATAGCTGCTGATAAGCGCGTGCGCCATATCCCTTTTCCAAATACTTTGGCGGCAATTATTTTTGGAGCAACAGGCATTGGATAAGGGTGGTCCTGCAATGCACTATTGAGGGTACATTTATAGTTGGCACAGATACAAATTGAGCCATCGGATTTCACTACAGGCAAAGAGTAACTATTCTTTGCTACAGGCACAGTCGCCGTCGTCCCCGTAGCAGGCCCGTAGCCAGGGGGTGGCCAGGTGGGGTATACAAATAATTACTTCCCCCCTTTGAGAGAATACTGATTTTAAATCAGATTACCTCTTTGTATTTAAGTATTGCAGTCGTCGATTGGAAGCGAATCAAATTGAGTTGCTGTCTAGTCACCTTTGGAATGTTTGTTTACATGAGAATCTTCCAAAGGCGACTCGACCGCCATTCATTTTGAACGAGATGTGAATTGTGTGTGGTCTACAGATCAAGGGGCAAATGTAAAACGTCAGATCTGACGGCAACAGCGCTTTCCACACTGCAAATTATGTAGGATTTGACATTTGACGTTTAGTACTACTGTGCGAGCGAAATAGTGCGGACGTTAGTTATGTGGCGGAAATACAGTGCTATTTTTATACTATTTACATTAATTTTAGAAATTGTTGGGAATCAAGGTAAGGATTTTTGCTATTTTTTAATTGCGACTAAAATACGTGGCGTATTTCCCATTGTTTTTCTCGCATTGCTTCAATTATTTACGGAGTGTGAGGTATAGAGAACGTCAAATTTTTTACGTAAAGGTAAAATCTATATCGCGGAAAAGGCGGAAATTAACTTTAACGGGTTACAAATCGGTGAACGCAAAAACGTATGTTTAGAAGTTTTCGGCGTGAGCCGAAACCGGAAGAATTCAAAGGTAAAACGTTCAGCCAATTAATTTGTTTCCCGATTTCGCAATGTCCGTGAAATTGCACCAGCACCTGGAATTTTGCGGTGGTAACGTTCCTCATTAAATTTGCGTTCTTCTAATAACATTGAACGACGAAACAAGAAAAAAACGTAATAAATCACTGGTGTGTGATAATTTAGGAAAGTGTTATTCTTCAATTAACTTTCCCCAAGTTCATTGTTTATATACCGTGACATGATCTCATAGATCTGTTTATTCTGTATTGTTGTTCTCACATTTAAGCAATTACGCCACAATTTTTCACTACACATAAATCAAACTCTGTATTTTCGTAAGGTAATGTACGCCTTGAGGCACCAGAAACGAGAAGTTTTTCGGTTTGTCAATCAGCCAAAAAAAAACAAAGCAACACGTGTTTTTAAATAACTGGTAAAAGTACCGAATTTTTTGGTTCATTGTGCGGTGATTGCAAAACTCCACTCAACCTATCATTAGCAAAAAAAAAAAAATGCCCGGAAGTTGGAAAGTCTCACGACTGTACGCCGCGTGATTGATAATTAAAAACCCAGTTAATTTCGAAAAATCCCTCGCCCGAAAATAGTTTACTGTTATTTAATCCGTTATGATTAATTGTTCCCTTGCGTTGTTGATGTTATGATTAATAGCCGGGCACTTTTTAGCGTTGGCGTTGACACAAACAGATCATTAAGAATTTACCTGGAACTTTACATCGGTGTCATAGTCAATGACTCTGTCAATAACGACAATAACTCCGTCCGTCCGCGAGGTGGATCGGTTATCTGATTCAGAACCGGAAACAAAAATGTGCGGATGAACTGGCACCGGTAGAAATTACGTGATTTGTAACTTCTGCAAGAGGGGTGCCTCAGCCAAAAACTTTGCATAGGTATGTGCTTGTTGAGTACAGACTTCCCAGGGAAATCCCCCTTTACGGATTCTATTTGCTTACCTCACCGCTTCCGATTCAAAATGTCGATGATAATGGATTGAAATGAAAATCATTGTCGCTCGACCTTGGCAAATCTTGACTGGTTGTCCCGAGTCGCGCAAAAGCTATCGGGATTGTACATAGCTTTCTGAAAACGCCCTCGTATATAAAAATTTGAATAACCGGCACAACATTCACGATTCCGACGTAATAAAGTATAGAATAATGGAACTAATTATTTTGTTTAATGAGTACATATTTATATATTTATTGGCTCTCTTGTTCTGGACCCTCAACAGAAGTTTTATAATGATTTATGGCTTTAAATTTGACCCCTACTAAGAAAACAAGTTGTAAATCAGCATATGCATGATTAAAGCGCATTTTTGGTAATGCAGGTCAGTATTTTATTAGCGAAGTTTAAAATTATCGATCTCACGAGTAATTTTGGCTGCGTTAAATAATTAATTTTATTTAATTTCAATTGACGGTACGTCTTCATTTTGTAAAACAAATCACAAAGTAAATAATAAGTTTTTATACTGGTAGCGCTATCTAACGGTAAAATTATAGCACCTCCGAAACCCATATCGAAATTATTTTCTTCAATTATCGATTTCACAAGTAATCTAACTCAAAATAGAGTAGTGCCTGCACATCTACACTATAGCAGAAAGCTTTTAGTGAAAATTTGAAGTCTCTAGCTATTGTAGTTGTGGAGATCTAACGCGGACAGCCGGCCTGCCAGCAATGACGAATATAATAGCGTATTTTTTTCAAAAATGCGCTAAAAAACACTAAAACCTCAACTAACACTATGCGATTAAAAATGAGTTGCGGTTTCTTTACATGGGAAATCGTACTTAACTTGAACTTTCAAAGGCGACTCGCCCTGTAGAAACTCAACATGTTCCTGTATAGGAAATGAAAATATATAGGGAAGTATCAGGGTAGGAATAAGTCGTGAATTTTATTAAAAAATCAAGAAAGTTGGACGTTTTGAATTAATTCGGACTTTCGTGAATTAATTCCTTATCTTTCGGTTTATTCGGCGAAAAATAATTAAAACAGATGAATTTTTCCGGGGGCGAAATCCTGGGAGTTAAAAGGGGTGGAAGTGATATTTTGCAATTTGTGGCAAAACCTCCAGCAAAACTATTAATTGTAAGCGAAAATGTTCAAACTCGTGTTCAAAGTAAAAGTTGTAAGGAATAAAAACTTTTATATTTACCTACATGTTTCACATAACCTCAAATTTTCAGAGAAAAACCTGAAAAACTGATTTTTTTCGTTTTCTCTTTTTATTTTTGCGAAAAAAGGTCATGGGGGTCTGAAATTTGGAAAATCAGTTTTTCGATATATGTACTCACTTTCGGTTGCCATAATCCCGAGCATAACTCCATCTGATATTTGAATTTGGAGTAGATAATGCAATTTGTTCCCATTGGAAAAGTGAATTAATTCTTAGACTTAAAAAAATTGAAATTTGAATTAATTCGCGAATAAAATAATATCGCAATTGCTCGTGGAATTGGCTATTGGTGGTGCCTTGTGTCCATTTTCGACACTTTTATAGGGTTTCTCCGTAATTGTTAGTGCCATCAAAGAAGTAACATATTAGGATGTTATCGAACCTAACCCGAGACCTAACCTCATTTTTTAGGGAAACACCCTGTATATTTTATTCTAAAAATATAACACTAGAGAATTTTTATAAAATTCAACATTGGTTAAAAACATTTTTTTAATTTTTGGTATTTTTCGAGGTATTTTTTTAATCATTTGAATCATTTGAAAGTTTAATTTCTGAAATAAAAAGAATTTAATATGCCAAGTACTTACCTTTTTAATTTTAAATTTACCTACAGGGTGTTCTATTTAAAAAATGAGGTTAGGTTCCGTAACTTTTTTAGCTGACACCATATACTTAATTTGAAACCGCCAGATTATT